ATTTTCTAGTGTATAATTGTATTATTTATATTGAATTGTTTTTTGAATAAGTATAATATTTTGTATTGAAGTGTAAAACATGTCAATCTTTACGATGAGAGGAAAAAATGCATCATATTTGTGAACTATCAACATGCATCATATTTGTGGACTATCTGGCATTTACAGATTTTACCAGATATTTTCATTCTATTCGAACTCTTTTTATGAAAAGGACTTTAAAAAAAAAAAAAAAAAAACACAAAATGGACATTTTTCACAAAATTGAGGACTTTTGTAATTATAACTTACTTATTTATCAGTATTCCATGTTTATTATGTTATAGTCTTAAAATTAGTCATATATTGTATATTTATTTATAACTCATTGTTTTAATGTTCAAAATTTCATATGCTATAAAGTCAAAATTTTATATGAGAAAGTCATGAACTATGATAGGCCATAGTTAAAGCTTGTACGCTATGTTCTGGATGTTTTCATGTCTTTTCTCATACTTTTGCTTCACTCCTGTACTAATGCTTTTCTCACCCCGGCCTCTCTTTTTGACGGGGGGGAAGATGTAAAATAAAATAAAAAAAAAATACGATGGCTTTGCTCTTTGCGAACCAGCAACCTTTAATTACTTTTCTGCAATTCAGGATCGTCCCCTAACCCAGTACCTGCTAGAACATTCACGCCTATTACATAACCTCCTCATATAAATGCTGCGTCATAAGTTTTCTACATTTTTCTAGAAGCTACTCTGTTACATAACCATTCATATAAATGCTGAGTCATAAGTTCTCCTAGACAGATGCCTTCTCATCTTCGTCCTGCTAACGCTTCCGCTATGCTCCTCTTTCTTTGGTAGAACGTTATGATGTATTAAAGTTTAAAGTCAGTCCTATCTAATAGTTCAATCACTGAATAAGTTATTTGATTAACTTCATCTGGAAAAAGTCATCTGCTATAAATTAAAATAAAGATATGCTTGCTGTTAAAAGTGAAAAGTCCTGAGTCGTCATTTTACTCCGTGTTTCAATCACCCCAGCTTCGTTAACCATCTGCCAGAACGTGTAATGGAATAGCCTCACCATTCGCCCACGATGTGTTGGAATAACTGAAAACATTACATATATATATGTAAAGAGCTTCTCATAACTGTAATAAATATATCTCGAGTTCAAAAATGCAGTATTACGCAACCTCACAAATGTACTAATCATTATATGGAGTCGGACGCAATAACTGCCACCGGTTACCTACAAATAGTTTATGTTTTGTATTCTGCTCTTAACAATATTATAAACATAAATAACCATTTAAACTTTATTCGGCTTTAAAAGGTACTCTAAAGCATTCTACTGCAAGACTTGACTCTTCAGCTTCGAACACAACAACTAATTCTTTTGCTGGTGGAGTGATACTAATAAAACTGCCCCAAAAGATGTTAGGCCAGCTAATGATTCTATGAATGACCAACCAAGAGCAGTTATTAAAAAAAGTATGATGAAAATTAGATGCCTTAAGAATTCCAGAACAATAATGCTAATTCTAAAGGGCAAAGTTTTCTCAAACAGCTCTATGGCTCCAGCTAAAATGCATCATCATTTGGAATCTGTTTATGGTTAGGAAAAAATGTTGACTTTGTGATTTGAAAGTGTGCCAAACTCTTTCAATTAATACGGTTTATGGTAAACCACAAAAAGAAGGAAAGAAAAAGCAAATGAAGATTCTTATTTAGTCAGCTATCATATAACTCAATGCCGTGAAGCCTACTCCATAACTGAAAATTTTATTACACTTTTCACTATAGAGATGGTAAAATGTATGTTAGATGGAAAAAGAAAAGCATAAGAAATAGTCAAGATCCTACTTTCAACTGACACAGTATCTCAGAACAGCTAATATAAAGCATCAATAAACACTAGTGGAGTGGAAATATTTGATGTCCTAAATTCTTTTCTTGAAGAGAAAAATATCATGCGATAAGTGCACTGATATCTTTGCTGATGGAGCAAAGGTCATGCATGGTATAATACTGCATTAAAACCATACTACTGAAGAAAACCTGAGGTTTCCCAATAAAAGTGGACCTTAGAAAGGGTTCCATTTATCAAAAAGATTAAGAAATGCTGATTTAGACAATAAATCTGGTAACAGAGTAACGCAGACACACTTCACATGCAGCCCAGATTCCCATGCTTATAGCATATGCATATTTTCAAATGCTTGTCGTGGTGCAACTTTCAAGAAGTTTATTAGCTTTTATTAGTTTATCATTGTTCAGTTATAAGGCTTACAGGATTATCTTCCAGTAGAATCTAGAACAAATGTTGAAAAAAAAAAATGAGGACAAAAAATCAACAAGATATGATGCTGAGTTTCACCAAGATTTATATAAAGTGCTTTTCTGTGAGAAAAGCATGGGCAACATAGATCAAAAAAACATTTTAAGGTCTCGAAAAGTCAGTTTTCAGTTTAGGCAAAATTCTGCCAAGAAGAAAAGAATAATGTAAGACGTTATTAGAAAACAGTTTTTCTGATGTATTCATCATGTTGAAAGTAACTTGTAATATGTCATTTACTTATTACATATTTATCATTTTCCACTCTTCTTCAAAAGCAATACATGAAGGTTTACACTGTATGTGTTTATAAGTGTGTGTGTGTAAGATAAAAGGTATGAAAGTACACTTCTGATTTTAACTGGCAACAGCCCCCCTTATTCTTCATTTAGGTATATCCCCTTTTTGTCCTAAAAACAGTAATATTTATAATGCATCAATGTAAAACCGCACTGTTCCAAATTTATCCGCATCATACAATCTTACATTCAGCAGCAATATATGTATGTTTTAACCAATCCATGAATAAGATTTCAGTTGAAACCAAAACCTTTTGATACTCTCCCAGCCTTCTTTTGAATGCATGCAATTTTCTCACTTGCTTGCCTACAGGTACCGTGTTGTGGCTCACTTCTCTCATCATCCATTGTAATTTACAAGATGTACTAAACTTCAAAAAAATATAATGAAGATAGGATGCAGATTGCACCGATAATGATGTGTGAATTAGAATATGCATCTGAAGAATTATAATGTCCATAAATGAAATGTGTTGAATCTATAGCTATATGCTTGTCTGCAAGTCCTATCCTTCTACTATGTAATACACATTTGATATATCAGCACCATTTACAACCTATTATTGCATTTTTAAAAATTATTTTAATCATGGCCAATGGTCATATATGGCACTGACATATCAAATCTTAATGGTCTAAACAAATCAAATTTTTTTCCCATTTTGCATTATTTCTGAAAAAACAATGCAGCAGAAAAATTCACAAGAGAAGGGTGAGATCTTAATGACGAAATGAAAATATCTGCCCACTTTCTTCTGCTGAAATTTTAAAGGTGCACGCACACACGTACGCACATATACTTCTATATAAAAAAATTTAAAATAATAAATTTTATTGAAAAATCACAGAAATAAAAAATATTAAATACTTTTCATTTTACTGAAATGGAAACTTTATAATACAGTTTTTAATATATCAAAAAATGACATTATAAACTCATAATACATTCCATTATAAATTCAGACTGGATTTAAGTTTCTAACATAGCTCCGCAAACAGGAGAGAATACGCAAAATTTTTTAAATAAGATATCCAAGTTATGAATATAATCTAGTTTCTACTTTGTTTTGTTTGAATTTTACCCAACGTATAATTATTTACATGGAAAAGAAAAATTCTTTTTTTTTACTTATAAAGTGATCAGCCTCAAGAAATGACTAATTTTTCTAGCCAAGGAATGGTTACTTGGCTACAAAAATCTGCCTGTGTATGACTGGTGATCACATCTATGACTTCACTCATTGCTTCACTATTAGGTAATACAGTCAATATTCATTTTAATGATCTCTCAAAGGACGTTACAATTAATGGTCTTTATAACAAAAGTGAATTTAGTGTATTCTCGTAAGTTAAAGATATTTTGCACTTGTCTTTATAACGAGCAGCCATTACAATGAGTAACGACAGAATATAATCAAATCCTGATTTAACTGTTTTCTCAATTTAATAAAATATTTCCACTTCTCAAAAAAAGTTAATTAAAAAATTCTCAATTTCATAAATACATCAAAAGTTTTCAAATTTCTTCATTAAGTACTTCAAAAAAATTATGGAAATAACTTAAAATGAAATATTTAAATTTTTCAATGTAATTTTAGCTGGAAAAATAAGCTCAAGCTTTTTAATAAAATTGTTTTTATCCGACATCTACAGATTGAACAGACATGAAACACAATCAGTAGCTGCTTTAAAAATCACTTTTATTATAAGGTGAAACAAATATAACTTACTCGCAGTCTAAAACAACTGTGAATCAAATTCAATCAAAGCATCGAATGAAATTTCATAGACCTACTAGTTTCGGATTATGTAGCTGTTCATATTCATTTGCTGATTTTCAAGATATGATTTTCTGATAAAGAAACAAGCAATTGGTCTAATTTTCAAAATGAAAAGGAACAGCCCAATCACTTTTGTGAATGCTTTTCTAGTCTAGAGACGGGAAGAGATTGATAAAACATGAAAAATTATTTAATACTTTTAGTGCTTCCCACCTTTATGAATTATCTTGATTATACCAATAATTTAGCAGTAATTCTTTAAATATGAATTTCATTGTGTATGATAGCTTAGAAGTAAATAATAGACTTTATCTAAAATTTGGGAAAATACTCCATAGCAAAATACTCCCGTAAGAAACATATACATACTCCATAGCAAAATACTCCCGTAAGAAACATTTTGCTCTCACATAGCAAAGTACTCCCGTAAGAAAAGTATTAATTCTGAAAGCTGACAATCAGTTACATGAAGAAAACTGAATAAGTTACGAAAAATATTTATTTCTGTATTAGATAAAATAATTTAAAGACATACAAAGAAATAAATAAAAATAAATTATTAAAAATATTTAAGTTGCCATAAGATACTAACCCATATAAATAATAAAAAAATGATAATACGTAAAAACCAAGCTTTATCCAGCCTTCTTTCATGGCTCTGCTTAGCTGATCAGCATTCATTATAGTTGTTGGGTCATATAAGCCAGGTCGGCTCATAACTGGTCTTGTTCGATACCTAAAAATTCAAATGTATATCTTAAAAATAGAATAAATTCAAAATAATACAAGAAACAAGCTCCAGCAAAAGTGATTAACTGCACACATATGACAAAATACAGAAGACATTTCCTTTCATATTTACTTATCTTTGATCAAGAAAGATAGCTGTAAGTTATTGGGAAAATACTGCATTTTGAATAATTCAAACTTTATATCATGGAAATAATTATTAAAAAGTGCAAAAAGCTATCTTATAGAGCTGTTAAAGCTACTAATTTACAGAATTTTAGAATTGTAGACTGGAAAGATATGAAAACTGATTTGAAGAAATTAAACTTATCAAACAATGAATACTTTTCCTTTAAAAAAAAAAAAAGAAAAAAAATCATACTTTATAATTCATGAACAAACTGCAGCTATAAAATACACAAGTGTTTTGCTTCGAGAGCATTCCTCATCAGGTCTGGGATTTTATGCATAGTATTACTATAATTACACATGTTTCTCTCCTTCACATCATTTCCCATCCTCCCAGTTTTTCTAACACAAAGATTTGAAAACTTTTGGAAATACGATCTGGCTGGATGGCAGTAACAGTAAAGGTATAAATGGATATTGAAGTTTAAGTGGATGGCAAAATTTAATTATGAAAATTTTAAAAAATAATTAAAAGTAAAAATTGAAATGAACTATACATAAAATGGTAATTTTATCAAAAATTTTTATGTATTTAAAATACAGTAATAATAGCATAATGTTTCATACTTTTTTTTTTTAAACTGCCAAGTTATTTCTTTAAATGGTTTTTTTCAGAAGCTGTACCCTGTAATTTCTTCCTCTTGGTTTTTAAAAGTAAAAATTAATAAATGTAGAAGTGAAAATATGCAAATAAATATGGTATTATAATTTCACCGGTGTGTGGGGGGGGGTCATTTTAGATAGGGTCATAGAAGAGTCCTGTATAGTGTAACAAATATTTATTAACAGGTTTAAGTTACACACGGACATTACATTTAACTTTAAGAAAATTACAGAGCAAGAGGCTGATACAACCTATCAAGTGGGACGCTTTGGCTTTTACTGTTCTCTGGCTACTCATCAGAGGGCAGCCTTGTGTTCATAGTTAGTCCAACAGTATATGTTAAAGGATTGGTTACACCAGTATTTATTATGACAGACATTGTAACAAAATTTTGTATAAAAAAAGTGCAAACATATTTTTTAATTTATTTCACTCAATACACATAACTCTTGAAATTTTACAAAAATAATTAGATAGGGAAATTCCATATACAATATAAAATTAAAGCCAATGCTTGCTCATATTAATAAATTAATTAAAATTTCAAGTTAATAAATTCATTAAAATAAAAGGGGATTAATAGGATTTACATATGTTTTAAAGCTTTAAAATGCAAAGGTTACACTTTTGATAATATTCAAAAATTCCAGTAGCTGTTGCATATATTATATGTGCCTTCATTAATTGTAAGCATTTAAATTCATTTTCAAAGGAATATACTACTACTTTTCAGTTATATTTTCTTGGGCATTAAGTCAACAAAATTCAAATATTTTTTAAACTTCTCCAATATTTTATCAAAGTATGCTAGATTTTACATACATACACACTGTGTCTCAGTAACCAAAGTTACTTTATCCAACAATAAATAAAGTGAGCAGGTATTTTAAACAAGAAACAGGGACCGTCAAACCAGTTTCTGAACCCCACTGTAAACCTCTGCTTGCAATTTTTCAGATTGCACTTCCATAAAATACAGTCATTTAATAAATACAAATTCACAGAACATGAATTTCTGCATTCAGTTATTGTTGGGTAAAATATCATATGAAAGAAAAACTACTCCAAAAAATGAGACCATTGAATTTCAAAAGTTCAAAGATATGAAGTTTTTGCCAATATTGTTTGACTATATTTCTCATCTAATCTACTTGGGACTTTCCAAGAGATGAAGAGGCAGTATTCTATTTCTTCACGGAAGAAATATTCTTTACAAAGAAAATTTGTATTCCACCTCATGAAATTAAAATGTAACTCAAATCCAAAACAGCTCCAGAAATTTTGATAATGAAGGCAATAAAAGAGCATCTAAACGCAGATGTGATTTGCTAAATTATGCATTATTTTCCTTTATGTCAATTCATTTACTTATGATGTCAGGAGTTAACATCCATTGAATTTTGTGAATCAAAGTTTGCTTCAAATTAATCGCAACTGAATGGCTGATTGGAATAGCTGCAAGATAGTATGAGCAATCCCTTGTAATCTTGTCATTACACAGTCAAAAGTCTTTAATCCGGACGTTCATAATCTGGAATGATCTATAATCCGGACCTCAAAGCTACAAACTTTCTGCGCATGCGTAAACGCATAATACATTTATGCATGCGCATTCAATGTATAACGGACGGTATAAGCTAAGCTAAAATTATCTAATTATCTATTTCAGTTAATGTTGCAGATTGTGTTGTTCCTTAATCTTCGAACTGGATCCGGCTTGAACTTTTGATTATGTCAAAAAGAATTTCCGATTCTGGAGCTGCCAAAGGATCTACAAAGCGAAAGCATGTGTCGATGTCCATCAAACAAAAAGTGGAATTGCTGCAAAACAATGGATAAATGCATATCCTTTGTTTCTCTAACCATTCTGAAATTTGTTATCAATTTCACGCTGCTCTGTGGGAGGAAGAGGACATCGCGGCGCGCAATGAATTGGAAGTTGATCTGTCAGCACAATCCTTATGTTGCAGATGTTTTTATTTTATTCGGCTTATAATTCCTTACTAAATGTAGTATTTCATCTCGATGTATGCTGTCTTTGATATGATTTAAATCAAATTCCTCGTCATTATAAATATCACGAATACACATCAAATAGTTTTCTGGTTGCAATTTTCTAATTTCGACTATGCGTAATGTATGCTTTACGCATGCGCGCGTTGAGCGTAATGTATGCTTTACGCATGCGCGCGTTGAAAAAAAATGTTTAATAAAGTAAACAAATAAATATTAAGCTTTTTTCGGTAAATTTTGATACCCTTTAGATCATAATTGCTCTTTATTTCATAAATTATGGTTTCATATTTTTAATTTTATAACTTCTGCATGCCATCTTACCAGATTTAAATCGATGATCTATAATCCAGAAAAACCGATAATCCGGAATCTCCGAAGTCCTGATGAGTCCGGATTAAAGACATTTGACTGTATTTTAATGAAAGAGTATTAAAACCAGGGTGTAAAAAAAAAAATAATGATGATTATTTAAAAAAATTTTCCCAACCATTACTTATTCAATGATTTCCACACATTGATGGTTTTCAAAGCAATTAAACTTCTAATTAGATATATGAAACATAATATTTTTACTAATCTCTACATATAATAAAAGAAAGAGTCAGTGTGTCTTTCGTTCATGCTGAGCGTAAGCTAATAGGCCCAGGGCTACGAAATTTGGTATATAGGTGCATCTAGACAAGAGCCAGTGCCCCTCGAAGCAATTTTTTAAAAGTTCGAATCAGACTTTTTATTTTATCTCTTCGATTTTATCATATTATTTTGAATACTTTCATTCTTTTAGAAATGTGATTTTGGCAACAGTTTTTCATTCAATTTTATACTGGACTGCTGACTGTTGAAAATCAGCAGTTGCCACTTGGAAAAATGAGGGCGATAACTCCGTGCAGTTTCTAAATTTAATGTTTTTCTTGGATACTGGACGTTTGATGAGAAAAGTCAACGAGAAGTTGGTTAATTTATTTACTAGAATAATTAATATTTGTATTAAGGGATATTGCTTATTTCATTGTAATTTTTTTATATGTAATTCATTTCGATTGAAATTTGGGTTTTTTTTTATTTGGTTCTTTTTGATAAAGTTGTTCTGCAGAGTAAAATTCAATGTAGTTTTTAAATTTAATGTTTCTTTTGGATGCTGTATGTTTGTCGAGAGAAGGCAATGGGAATTTGGTTAATTTATTTATTAGGATAATTAATATTTGTATCAAGGGATATTGCTTATTCCATTGTAATTTTGTTATATGTAATACATTTGGGGGGGGGGTTATTTTTATTTTAGCTTCTTTTTTTTTTTAAAAAAAGTTGTTTTGCATAGTAAAATTCTGTGCAGTTTTTAAATTTAACATTTGGTGTTCCCTTCAGGCATTTTTCTGGTACATTTAAAAGCCAGACGAAGGCTGTCAGCATAGCTGCTAGTAAATTAATAAAAAAAACACTAATAAATAGAAATAATATAAATTTGCATTATTTTTTAATGTGGCATAAAATTCACAGAAATATCTTGGCAGCTTTTTGGCATTAATAAAAGAGTCATTTTAATCACTTAAACACAGTATAAAGTCCAAATTCTGGATATCCAATATCTGCAATGATGCATCCAATATCTGGAATATCCAGATCTCTAAACCACCAGCAATTGTTTTTAATAAAATTTAGGAAAGGAGAACATGAATACTACAGGAAAAGAGGATTATGTCATAAAAGGAATTTTTCTCCGAACTAACTGAGATTCTTGTGTCACTTTCAAGCACCTGCAGGCAAGAGAATCACCACTGTGGCCAATGACAACGACTGATGTTTGAACAACAACATTTTTGGCCCCTTAGTGGTTATACAGTTGAGAGGTTAATATTTTTCTGTCTAACCAAAATATTAAGTGAAGCCTCAAGACATTATTTTTCTGTCTAACCAAAATATTAAATGAAGCCTCAAGACATACTTGTTTGGAGCAGGCTTTTTGCTAATGCCATAAGAGCAGGAAGAATTAGATTCAGAAGAAATTAAATTCAATCAACATAGCAAATTGAGTTCTTCCTTAAATAATACGACTTAGCTTATTATTTTTCACAGGCTTTTATTATTAAAGCTATGTTATCAAAATTAAAGTTTAAATTTTCAATTATATTGAAAGCAGTTTTGAATTCTAAAGCTGTAATAGGATCTGCAAAGCTAAAACATATTTAATACTTTCCTTTTAAAGGCGCTTTGATGTGAGAAAATAACATTGTCCAAAAAATAACAAAAATTATGAGGCTAAATATTTATAAAAATGCTTACTATATACTGATAGAACACCAAGTATCAAATTTATGTGTAGATATAAAATGCCAGATGAAATAATAAATTTTAAAAAAATTTAATGGCATTATTTTTATTTAAATTGGATTAAATTTAACAAATTGAAAACTCTGTTATCTTTTTCGGAAACCAGTATGAAATACAAACAGAACTGAAGAGCTACTAACATTTTCAAACCAAATTTTACAAAAAAAAAAAATTTGCAGAACAAGTCTAAATCATTTTTAATTCTGCTAAGAAAAAAAAACCATGGGAACAGTCTCACATAAGAAATGACATTAATTTATAATTAAATGATATTAGCACTGCTCTCTATTATTCTCAGCTAATTACAACATGTTAATAATTTTCCTGATGTAAATAAAATACTGAATAAAAGTTCACTGCCAAAAATTCACGGAAAAGAAATTTCAAAAGTGAAAGAGGGTAAATATGATAATTCTAAGATGACTTACCTATGAAAATGATATACAATTAGCGGAACATTTAAAAGTAATGATATCCATTCAAACGCAAATAAAAATAGCAATGTGTATAAGAGATGAAGAAAATATTCAGGTAGTACAAGCTGTGAGGGGAGAAAAAAAAAATTTTTATTATGTATAAAAATGGCACACACAATCAGACTCAGATAATAACAGAATAAAGAGAACCTAATTATTGAGGCAAACATAAACAATACACACTCTCTGATTATCTGCAGCCCAGTTTCAAAATTTCCAGTTTGAGTTGCACGAACTGGATTTAGATGACATTGATAAAGGGTTAAAGACGCCTTTTTGATGCAAACACACAATTTACTGAAGATTCAAATAGTTCTATTACAAGATCCATGTGTAGAACTTGTAAGAGTAAAAATTAATTAAGTTCATATCTTGCCATATGGCATAAGAATAATGGTTCACATCTTCATATGCCATTCATTGAGGTCATACAGGTTTAAACTCCCTTGGATAATTAATATTTTGAAAAATGTATATGTTTTATTTTTTATTGTGCCATACAACTCTCATATAATAATTTATAATTAATAATAGTGAGTGTATGATGCAGATCTTGAGCAATTATCTGATACACTTTAAACAAAAACAGATCACTTAGTACATGGTCAGAAAAACTGTAATGTATCATATAATATACTATACATAATATTCAATGTGCACAATGTGCTGAATTTTTTTAATTCTCTGATATTTTTTCAAGTGAATAAAGATCACTGTGCACATGGTGAAAAAGAAAGCAATATAGTATATAATACATATAACAATTAATGTGTATAATGCAGAATTTATGTAATTCCCAGATACTTTTTTTAATCAAAAGCAGATTGTTATGTACGTGGGTAGAAAAACGGTAATGAATAATAAAGTGTAGTACATTTATTATATCACTTTTGTATTTTAAACTCCATGTTTAACTGCTATTGTATTGTATGGTTTGTTTACATGTTTAACTAAATTGTAATTTTAATCATCATTTTCATGCTGAAAAACTGTATTTTAAATCATTTTCTTTTCATACATTGATAACATTTGCTGATTTAAGATAAATATCAACATTTTGATGATCTTCTAGAGAAATGTCATCAATTTCACCATTTTTTTCCTTGCAAGTAACTTTAACTATTATCATTTACAAACAGAACAATATCTATCAGCTGCCATAAAAATAACAGACTAATGTTTTTATCAATTCACAAAGCAGCCAATTTTTCATAGGGATGCAGATAATCATAAAGTACTAAACAATATAAATTACAGTGCAATGTCCAAAATCTGGGCATACAATACACCAAATGACCTTTGAACCACCATCCAAAAACTAACAATAAAAATTAAAATATTTAAATATTTAAGAAGAAAAAATCTTAGTCTAAGAATGGAGAATATAATAACAAAAGAAGGCAGATGTGCAGTAAATGTGATTTTGCACCAGACAGATTCCTTAATGTCACTTTTAAACACTTGCTGGCTAGGGAATAGCATCAATAACAATGCATCGATTGACATTGTACTGATGTTGGTCAAAATTACATTTTCAGCCCTTGAGTGATTGTGGGGAAGAGGGAGACTGCAGCATAGGCAGCACTATGCATTTTGCTGCCCAGTGCAGCCTCTGCTGGTCCTAAATTCTGTTGTTTGTTACCTCCCTCAATTCTAAAAACTGCTCCTAAATTCTACTGCTTAGTGCCTCTCCTGAATTCTAAAAATTTAGCCCTTTTAATTTTTGCATCTTGATGCTCCTCTAAATTCTAAAATGTTTACTATCACTGAATTCTGGCAGCTGGTTGGTACAGCACCATTTGCACCAGCTCTGACCCTGTGAAGAGGGGGTGGTTAGCACTTTTTTATCTGACTTAAACAATATGTGAAATTTCCATGTTGTCATGTCTCCATGTCAATGCCAATGTCTCTCCTGAATTTTAAAAATTCAGCCATGTCTAATTTTCGCATTTCAGTGCTCCTCTAAATTCTAAATGAACTAAAATGTTTACTATCCCTGAATTCTGGCAGCTGGTTGGTATAGCACCATTTGCACCAGCTCTGACCCTGTGAAGAAGGGGGTAGCATTTCTTTATCAGAACTAAACAATATGTGAAATACCCATGTTACCATGTCTCCATGTCACATCTTATTAGGTTTAAAGTGATAATCTAAAATCCAGAAATTTGTGAAATCTGGAATTGCTCAATTCCCAATAATTCTGAATCTCAGACTTTGCAATGCATTAAATATTAATATAACAAAATATTAAATTCATTTTTTATAATAACATATTTGATTTCATTTAATCATACCAATCTTTCCCATCCTACTGCAAATTAAACAGTACATAAGTATAATTATTATGGATAACTAAAGGATTCTTACTGGATTCAAGCTATTACACTGATCTATAGGATTTTTGTAGTCAGATTTTAATTCATCAAAAGCTATAACCTAAAGAAATAAAAGAAAAACATAAGCAAATAATATATCATCAAAAACTGTATAATATCAAATGTGTTAAAATGTTAATTCAAGTAGTTATGTATTTATTTTCTCAAAAATCAATGTTAGACAAACATCAAAAATTAATTAATTCACCTCCAATTACTACATGCCCACAGTTGTTATAAATACAAGTTCACATAAACTCTATGCAAAAGACTTAAATGCTGTTATTTCTTTGGAAGTATATTTACGCAAATATAAGATCTACTCTTTTTGCAATAATTATTCCAAAATTTGGAAAAGTCTTATAAACAGGTTTTTGGTAAACAAAATTGCCAAAATGAGAGGAAGTTTAAATATAGAATTATGCTGGTTAAATACTAAATCAACCACACTGGCAGGGGTGAATTATACAAATTTAAAAAAAAAAAAAAAAAGCTTGCATTTAACCTATAAAAACAAAATATCAGATTTTATCCAATAAATATTCATAAGAAGAAACTTTCTAAATATTAAAAAAAATTATTTCCATAACGTATTAGTCATCAATGCCACACCTTTTAAAGAATTCAAATTTAAGGCATGGTTTAAAAAAACATTTATCATTCAACGCAAAATGCTTGTAACAAGTTCAGTAGTTTTCCGTATTAAAAAAGCCATTTGCAAACTACATGCAGTTTGTCATGATGTAAACACACACCCGACTTTCAACATTTGAGATAACATCTTTTCAAACCTATTTTTCTCGCTGATTTGTTAGAACTCGTAATAAAAAATGTATATTTCAAATGATTCAATCACTGATGTTTCTGATCAGATCTCTTAATATGAATTATAAATCATGACATATGCAATGCAAAATTACAATGTTAGGAAAATCGGTACTATTCCGGTAGAGCGGCGTCATTTAAAAATGAAGAAAAAAATTAGAAAACAATGTTAACACAACATGGAAAATATCGTGGCTCGAAATTTCCAGTTTTCATTTAAAATATCGCACTTCCTCCCCCCCCCCCATATTCAGTATGATGGACTACACAATTTGGAAATTATCTAATGACAAAGAGGCTGCCATAAAGATTCCTTCAGAACAAAGGAATAATTCATAGCAATTGACTTTGTTCTCAAAATCATCCAATGAAATTAACTTTTGACTCAAACAAAGCTCCGATTGAATTTTGCCAGTTAGAAATCAGCCATAATGTTCTGGAACAATGGATATTCGGGGTTTATGCTGGGAAAGGAAAGAATTTTTTCTGGTCGTCATTCCCAGTCATTGTGCTGCAACATTGATGACCCCCATACAGGAAAACATTGCAGGTGGCAGCATAATATTTTCAGACTACTAGGAAGGATATAAGAAAGAGGAATACTGACCTTTTTCCTGTAAATCACAATTACAATTTTGTACACCCCAAAACCGGATGTCATACCCAAACTGTGGAGTGATTGTGGGGGCAGTGCTAGATGGAAGAATTTATGTGTTATATTCAAAAACTGAAGTTTTTTCTATAATATTGAATGATATTTGTAATTTTATGCCATTAGTTTAGATTAAATTTCGTTTTGTTTTACTATTTTTTATATAATTTGTAGAATACTCTAAATTAAAAAATTAAAAAAAAAACTTACTTTCTTTAAAAATTATAAAATTTTTAAAAAATTTAATTTTACAGAAGTAACTTTTTAACTGACACCACTCTAATGGAATAGAACCAGATTATCTAGTAGAAATCTGAACTAGTAGTTTTCTGCCTAACATTACACTAGCTCTATAGTAACAAACTGCGATTAAATGATTTTTCAAGAAATTTTCAGGAAATCCATATAAATTTAAACAATTAATTATACAAGCATGTATACACTCAGCAATAGTAATTTCTAGCTCAAAGTAAAAAAGAACAAGTAGCTCACAAATTAGTGTACACAATTAGTAAATTGCATAAGTACCAATAAATAAAATAGTCTTTATCTAGCTAAAAAATTTCATTCCAAGCCTTTATCTACTAAACTGGCCATAGATATATCTAAAAAAAAAATAGGTAACAATGTATCGCTATCTTTTCCTAATTTTTCTCTATAACAGGAAAATATTATATTTCGTTAAGTTACTATTCTAATCAGAATCTCATCTAGTCTAATCAAATACACCCTTTTATTTTTATTTCTAAAATGTATACTTGAGGAGGATGTATTGTCAAGTAAATATGATCTTTATTGATACTCAAAGCCAGTCTGTATATTATATAGTTAAATCATTCAAATTTTGTGTCACTTTAAAATAATCATCTTAGTTTTCATACATATTTCAACTCTTGATTTTTTTCAACTGAGTAAATTAAGCAAATTACAGGAAGGGAAAAAAACCTTGTAAAAATACTAATCTAAAATCATTTTAAGACAGACAAAAAATCATGTGCATTTTTTACAGTTAAAAAAAATCAGTACTTATCCCAGATTACATTTCCTAAGTCACTTTCTTGGGGAAAGGGGACAACAAAACACCTCCAGTGACAGTTCCTACCAAACTTTTGAAAGACAACTACAGCTTCTGGTTCTGCTCATAGCAAATTCCGTTAGTTGTGTTTGCTTGCCATTACTAATTAAATACTTAGCTGCTAAAGCAAAGAAAAAGTTGCAAGTAAAACTAATATATTAGAAAGATCAGAAAAAAATCAAAATGATTGATAAACAAAAAAAAAAAACTCTCAGATATAAACTGAAAAGGGTTACCAAAATGTCACTGGAGATATTTTATTGCTACAATAATATAACAAGCAATATATAACTGCCAAGAAAATGCGAGATAAAACAAAAGTATCAAAATCATATAAAATGTGCTATTTTTTCTTAATGGGATAAGTATATGTTTTTTAATAATCACATTAGCAACAATTCAATAGTCAATCCTTATGAAAGAAATAGCAGCATATTAATTTCAATAAAGAATAACATTTCCTTTTTTTTTTACAAGATAAAATTTAATATTTTCGGTTTAATCCTAGTATCTGGTGCACACGGGATTTGGCTACTTTATGATGAGCAGTAAAAAACGGGACATATACGATTAGTAAACGGATCATTTAAAGAATATATAGTGTTATACATAGTATATACTATGTATATAGTGATAGTAAATAGTGTATAGTATATACATAGACGTTCTTTGGGTCATTTTTGGTGTTGGCGATAATTTTCAAAACTGCACCAAGGCTGCATTGTATACTAGGATTTTACCGATATTTTCTCTTCTTTCTTTAAAATGTTCTTATTCTCCTAATAGTATAATACAGACAAACTGCTTAGCCATGGTTGTTACATAATTGATTAATGAAAATTACATGAGATGTTTCTCATCAAAAATCTATTTGTCCCCTATTCCTTTATATCAAATAAAGAATGTTATATCTATTCCCTTATTTTAGAGTAAAAAAAAAAGTCTTTCTACCCATAATACATATGACAACAAAATATGAACAAGCCTTTGTTGTCTGAGTGGGTACTTGTATGTGTTTGGGCAGTTGAAGTCGTTAGGTGAGGTTGCCTAGAGTAAGGCAACCACTCATGAAGCTTAAAGTTCCGCACTTATGACTTGTCTGGTATCGCTTAATGTGATACCAGACAAAATTTACCACAGACTGCATGTCCAGTTCAGGGAAGCTACCCTTCCATGGTCAAGAGTGAAGGTTTGGTGCAATGAATTCAAACAAGGGCCATAAATATGCTGCAAATCAAGGTCATCCCCAACATCCTTGCACGAGTATGCAAATGAAAACGCTGCACAAGTTTGTGAGCTTATCGAATGGGATCGACGCTGCACACTGCTTCAAATTTCAGAACTTGGTGTCAGCTATGGAAGTGTTCAATCTGTCATCAAAAAACAGCTGGGCTTCAAAAAAATCTCAGCTTGTTGGGTTTCAAAGTTACTGAATAATGATCAAAAAGCTGCACGAGTTAGCATTTCTTGGTTGCTTTAAAATCGTTTTGAAGAAGAGGAAGCTTTTTTGCATAAAACTGATATGCATGCAACATTACATCTTTTGGGACTGGAGGGGATCCTACTGGTGAATTTCTTACAAGGACCTCAGACCATCAATGCAACTTACTATTGTAGTCTCTTGATCAAGTTAAGCTTCAGTGTTGACGCAAAAAATGAAACTGTCCCATCTGTCAAGTGTTAATCCTCCACAACAACGCTAAGCCTCACACAGCAAGTATAAGCAGCAGAAACTGGTGGAAATGCAAAATCATCCACTTTATCTCCATGTGATTGTCACATGCTAGACCCCTGTAAGAAGCACTTGGAGGCAAGCAATTCAATGATCAAGTGAAAATATTTGTGCGCAACTGGTTAGATAGTCGTCCAACTTCATTCTACAAGAACGGAATGAAAAAAATTACTAAAATTGTGGGGGAAAATCTATCTTGAAAGGAGGAGATTATTTAGAAAAATAATTTGTAGAAATGTAGATGTTTAATATTAAATAAATTTTAACAAAAGGCAAAAAAAGGCTATTAAACAAAACAATTTAACAAAGGCTATTAAACAAAAGGCTCATTTATATTTGATTTAACCTCCTACTTTTCAGACTTTTCTATTGTTGTTCAATGATTAATAATATTCACTTCCCAATGCATACTCTTTCAAATGCAATACACCAATTTTAAAAAATTAGTTATAACACAAATACTGAAGGACTGAACCAAAACACACTGATCTAAAACAATGACAGTTTTTAATTACAGCATAAAGTTAAACATTAGGTTTGTAAATAATTAAAGATTAAATTTCATAATTAACATTAATCTCAAATGTTGCATGAATGCGACAGATAGCACATAATCAGCACTATAATTTATATAATAAATATTTTTTTTTTCTTTTACTATTAAAAAAGGAGCTATTTATAACACTTAACATATATCATGCTGGAAAGGTCCAGCACCACACAAAGGATAAATATATTCTAATTAAGGTGCATATGGATCCAACAATATGTCAAGTAATTCAGTCTTTCAGTGACAAAGGCTTCCCTGAAAAAATGTTTTAGCAATTGACTAATTTTGCCATTTTTGAATTTTAACTGGCCATTGTGATCTCCAGATTTAACGATCACTGGACATTTTTGTCTAAGGCTACTTAAAAGGAATAGTGTATGCAAATAATCTATGAACCATATAAGAATAAGAAACTGTCAGTTTAATAAGAAACTGTCTAATTCAAGAATAATAAAAAAAATTATAATGAATTTCCTAAACAGAACATGTTGAGACTTATAACTGCTATCATTTGCTAAATATTATTACAAAAACATGTTTTCATACATTGTATTAAATTTAACAATGGCAAAAAAATAAAAAACATTAAAACTAAAACTGTTATTTCAAATGCATTATAAAATTCTGCATTTAAAAAATGACTAGGAAAGCTTTTTCTTATTTCTTACAACCTGGCCCCATTTTTTTTCCTTTCTAATTTCTTAAATATGACTTGATGGCAGTGTCTCTTTTAATGACAGCTTTGACATCAATTGTAGATGTTCATCTGAAGTTGCAAATTCAAATATGAAATATAATTCCAAGTTTCCTAAATAGCTTGAATGTAAATTACATGATATAATTAGCAGTCTTGTTTTACTAGAACAATATATTTTTCACAATGAATATCTGTTACAAGTTATATAACACCAACATGCATCCTTTTCAGCATTGCTAGATCTTGTACACCCCTTCATTCCAAAACTCAAATTATACAACAGATTTGAAACTTCCTTCCATACAGATTTAGATTTAGATTTAGATTTAGATTATTTTTAACGTATTTTATAAATTAAATAACAAAGAGTACAGAACGTGTTGATATATATCAAAACTTGAATTAAAGTAGCTTTTTTATATTCATAAACTAAATACTGAACAATTAAATTAAAGGCTAATAATTAACAATAAAACTGAATATTTTTATTTATGCTACATTTGAACAAGCATTCGCATTTATTGAGTTATGAATTACAACAAGACTATCAGCTGATGGATTTCCTGTTATTTAAATAGGTTTCTTAAAAGAATGTGAAGCTGAACTGAGTTATAGATTATAGCTGAACTATGTGAAAGGTCTGGAAACACTGTCTAAAATATTTCGAGAAACTTTCTTAGGCAGAAATACGCTAAATTTACTGCACAGCCAAAAAAAAAAAGAAAAGAAAAGAAAAGAAAAGAAATGCTAGACGATTAATGCAGTAATCAGAATTCTCTTAAACGGCTAGCTCTGCAGCTCATAAACATTCCACAAATGTTACCAGAAAATAGGGTTTAGTAGAGGAACAAAACTGCTACTGAAATGTGGTTTTTCTAAGAAGATAGTACTTGCATTTTCCAACTGTCTAGTTCAGAATAGAAGTTCAGTTCCTTTCCGGAATGCAATATACCGCCATATTACTCATTTATAATTACCACCCTGCTATGTAATGAACAAATAACGCTATAAACGCACTTCGGTGATTGATTAAATATGTTATTAACTATGATAATATGCAACAAGTTATTCTCTTATAAAATTCCTTCCATAAAAGAAATTTTATTTCGACGTTAGTTAGTTTTAAAATTTTTCTTCTGAACTCAAGACCGCAGAAAACTGATATAACAATTTAAATTTTAAGAATGATTCAGCAGCTGTCACACTTACATGAAATACAGCAAAAAAAATCAGAAACGCAGTTAATATTAGCGCCACTATGTAGCAGAAAGCCGCAAAGGTAAACGCCATCTTTTCTGTTGTGGCAAGTTCAAGATGCCATTTTCAGATAGTGAACCTTTAGCATCTTTGGCTTTAGAAATAATCGTTAAAGCCAAGGCCACTTGACTGCATGACGATAATATCATACCGTATACGCTCACGTAAGGTGCGTACATTTTTTTTTTCTAAAATTACATCACTAAAATGCAGGTGCGGACATTACACGGGTAGTTTAAATGTCGCGCTTTTTCTCGTGAGTAATTTTGGGTGTAAATTTCATTTCAAACAGCCAAGTTCTAAGTGGAGGAAAATGACATAAGTAATAAAAGTATCAAATTTAAAGTTGTCTAATTAGATACATTCCGATGACCTCATAGATCACGTGATTTATGTATAGCTTTTATAAGCAAACAGTGCATATGACCTGTGAGATCATGTGACTTATGTACCGCTAATGTAAATGAGCAAGGCCATTCTTCCTCTTCTTTTCCTGCGGAATGTATCTCATACTTACCTAAAATTCACAAAGTAACTTTCTCCCATCCACATAAATAATGCAAATTACCCCGTTATCAACACTTTGCACGTATTAGTTCGTACAGGAGCCCAATATAGAGGCACAAATCAATCAACACTTGCAATTTTAATACTTACTTTTATACAAATTAAACAAAAGTTGGTTCTTTTATTATCTTGCCCACATTAATTTTTAAAAAATCTGTTCTGACGCTGTAAGAAAATCCATTTCGTTTCAACATTCGCCGCAGCCAGCCTTCACTCGCCTTAAATTGCGATGTACGAATATCTTCTTCTCGCGCCGCAGCAAGCGCTCTTATTTCGCACACTTCACATGTTACTGCATACCCTTGAGCACGTTTATGACGAACATAAACAACTACTTTTTTTCCTAAGTTCGGAAACTTACATTTCGAACCACAAAACGTACGCCTTGTTTTGTTCATTGCCACCAGTTCATCACGCTGTTTGCTCCAATTGCTTATACACTTTCCGACCACCTTATATACTCTTGCTGCTGCCCTTTTTCCATTTTCCTGCGCAAATCTAAGACTTTTAAAAGCCGTAGTAAAGCTGCTGTAGTTTTCCATTTCAAGCACGCTACTTGCTAACTTCTACGAATTCCAAATGATACTATGAATGGAAATAGAAACCTTGAAATATGCGAATGCTCCAAGAAGGAAGGAGGGTAAAGTAATTTCATTACAAAACAGTATTTCCTGGTAGCCAGTGTGGTGAAAATCCGTTCGGACTGCCTTTATTTATTATCACCTCTGCCGAGTGGACTGCCGGCCCCGATTTTATGACTGAATAACAGCTGGACCAGAATGCAAGAAAAGTCTCTGCTTTACCTGCTGGCGCCAAAGACAAAACAAATATATATTCTTTCTTTAAAGATGTTTATTGACTAATGTTATTGGCTAGAGGGAAAAAGGCGATGTTACAAAAATATATATAGTTTAAAGTAAGAAATTCTTTAGTTTTGGGGGTGCAGACATTGTGCGGGTCACTTTTTTTTTACATAAATTTTATCTGTAAAGTTGGGGTGCGGATATTACATGAGTACATGAGTACTAGCGTATAAGGCATATAAAATCAGATAAAATTGAGCTTTAGATAAACTCGACTAATTTTGTGGAAGACAAGCAAATGTGTCTCTCTTCATACACTCCTTGAAAGAGACAAATTTATCAATCCCCCTCGGAATCGATAGAGTTTCCTATCAGTCCAGTCATCAATGTTCTTCCTCACCTGTTGCATATTTTTTTAATCTGGCTGATATCTTAGTCGCGTGACGTAAGAAGCTTATCTGTTATGTGACTGCAGGTGTTGCACTAAAAAGGCGTAGAGCAACTATACCTTAACACATTCTGTCATGGGTCTCAAACTTCTGTGGCTTCACAACGATAATCGAAAAACACTAAAAATTTTGGAACTTTTTTCAATGTTTTGCTTATAATACGAAAATTCATGTAGAGGAAATTATATATGATTTTGGCCTCATGGCTACAAGGAAGCAGTCGGTAACTGAAAGTAATTTCTTCCTTGCAATCGTCAATATTGCCTTTCTTCTTGCTCATCACTACATCACCTGTAAAAGCTTGAAGAGACTGTAAAATAAAATCTCACCGTTTTCCAAAAATCTATATGCTGGGAGATTGAGAGTCCTCAGCAATAATGGCAGTCGCTATTTACTAGTTCTTAGTATTTCTTCATCATCTGATAACCTTTCTTAATACCACGAATCAGTAATAACTGTAAGGCCGTTATACATATAATTTAAAAAGTTAAATATAATTTCGCCGTTACCAATACATCATCATTATACATTTCAAGATGGGTGATTTTACTGTTTCTGGGTGTGAGCGAAAATCATATTTAATTTCCATTTTGTAATTGTTATTCCTTCCACTGCTTTCAAGAAACATGAAAATTGATTGCATTGATGCTCAAACATCGTCTCTAAGTCAGCCAGTTTATTACAAAATTTTCTCTACAAAATCAGTCTACTTTACAATCATTTCACTCAATACATGCAAATTTCATTTATTTGTAAATATCACAAATATAACGAGGAGAACAGCAGCACGACTTCCGATAAACTATGCGGCCCACCGACTGAAGTTCATTAATTTCATCAGTGTTACCTAGGCATACCAGACATGCATTAAATAATTAGTTTCAGACATATGACGTTCATATTAAGGCTCCACCGCACAGTTAGAAGGGTGTTTCTGCATTTTTCACAAAGATCTAAAAAGTGATCTCTTTTCAGGGCGCTCCAGGTGCGTTGCAGATAGTCCGAACTTTAATATATGCATTCTGTAAGATATTTTGTTTATTGCAATTTTTTCACTGAGTGGTCATCTTTGAAGAACGCTTAGTGTTCGAATAATGAACGAAAGCCTAAAAAAGTGCTTTTGTTTTTAAATTTTCGTTGTTTTTTAATTTTAGCAAAACTCTTCGTTGACTGGCAAGCTTGAGAGAAAAAGGTGTAGGATAAGAACTAAGTGCAGTAGGCAGCGCCTCAGTCTTACAATATTGCGAATTTTATAATGTATGTACAGGGTTTATTTTCAGCTAACACTATTCAGAGTCATCTACAGCTTAATCTATCATTGGAAATGAAACAAATCTGGTTGGGGGGGAATAATGACGATATGGGAAAAACGTTTCCGTAAAAAGAATTAGTTCCGAAAGTCGCCAATTAGAGAAAAATAAGGCGCTACTGTAGTCTGCATAACCTAGAATTAGACAAATGAATAACAAAGAAAGAATTTTAGTGCAACACAGCTTTAATGGAAAATAAACTACCCCAAAGTGTTACAGTGATGATATTTTGGTGCACCATAGCTCTTTATTTAAAAAGCATTTTCTCGGCGAAGGTATAGACCTCTTACATTGTAACCACCCTTCCCGTAGACCGAAAATTGCATCCTGTACACAACATTGTCAACGGCTAAAGCCATTATGTCACCACAAATGCTCAGCATAGCCCGTAATAGGTCCAGACTCCAGCAAGACAGACCTCAAACTTTCAGGAACACGTCACATGGGGTTAGATCCGAGGAGGGAGGCCGCTATGCAAGTGGAAAAAGCGACTTATGACACTACCATACCCATCTTAAACAATCTCCTTTGGAGGATGAAGTGAGTGACACCCAACCGGTATAGTGGTTAGCGTTGCTGACTGTCGTGCCGAAAGGCCAGGGCTCGAATCCAGGAGAAGACATGGATGTTTGTTAATGTACAGTGTAGATGCGGCATGGTGCCACTCCAAATATGTGGCGAGCCGAACGTCCTCTCGTGTGAATTGGTGGAAGGGAAGGTGGGTGGGAGACTTTCGGACGCGTCAGATGAAGTGAGTGTGTCAAACCACATTCGATTTCTTTTGGCAGCCTGAAGGTCTAAAACCAACTCTCTTATAATCGCTTTAAGGTTCCTTTAATTCGACAATTTCAGTAAAAGGGTCACTGGATGCAATTACTCTTAGCGGTCCTTCAATTAGATTGTTTACTAATTGATTCACTACTTCAGAAGAGATTCCTAATTCTTGATATGGCACTGTGAAAGATGTTCAGATTCTGGGCAATCACCATCTAGTTTTTGCCTAACAATAAACTGCAATTTTTGCCCTTTCACTTAAATTATGCCACATTAGCTTTAAGCGACACTACACTTCCGAATTCCAACATGCCTACATTGTGCAACAAGCTCTGTCAACAAATTTTCCTATTTCATACACTAAGCTATACACAGGAATCCACTTTGGCTTCATTTGAAGATAATTATGATAAATAATTGCACATTGGTTGGAAACTTTAGGGGTTGAGCTTTTCTTTTTCTTTTTTTTTTTTTTTTAAAGATTACTTTTACTTTTGGTAGGCAGTGTAGTAGAAATTCAGCAATGACATCAGTTGTAATGATTACATTGATAATCTATTCCACATGCAGACAGGAAACAATTTAAAGCATATGTGAATACAATAATTAATCAACAAATGACAATCATTGAGTGACTAAATGAGTTAAACTCTTATTATCTTCCTACATATAATGGTTCTTAAACTTTTGTCATCAACTTGCTAGCTTTGGACTTTTGTAATTTTTCCACACATTTTTGACAGTTTATTGCAGCTTATATTGCCATTTACTGATCATAATTCTCATCAATTTGGAAGATTTGATCTTTTACAAATTTTTTTCACTTTATTTTTGACAATTTTCTGTGAATACATTAGAATCAATAAAATGTAATGCAACATTGTCTCTACTTGATACTGATGTTAATTCATTTCTTTTTTATATTTTATACTTTGTAGAAGTTTTTGTATGATTAAGAAGGCAGTCACTTTTATTTAAAACCTTTTTTTATTATGCTTTATATATAAGCACAAGAGACAAAGAGTATAAAGTTTATAATATGATAAAAAAAACTGACAAAAGAAAACATGACAAATAACCAAAGTTAATAATATATTCACATTTTAATAGTGATTTCTGATAACACACTTCTTTTGATTAGAAAAGTAGCATAGACATCAAGTTTAAAAATATAAAAGAAGCTTAGAGAGATGTAGATTTCTTTATTTTTTATCACATTATCCCAAGATGTTGATAATGTAGCCACACTCCTAAAATCTATGGGATCATAGATTGCAAGCCTAATTTTCTGAAGCATATAAAATTGAGAAAACACAGAACATTTTCAGTTGGAAACTTCATAATATATTTATTCTGAAATTTTACTATTTCAGTTAACAACAAATAAAAACAATTATCAAACATAACAATTTAGATTTTGAAATTACATTGCATAAATGAAGCATTATACACTATTATTTAGATTGAGTTCACAGATTTTTAAACTTTTCCAGTGCTAGTGCTTTCAAGGAGTCATACTTTCTCATTGGAACTTCACATTTTACATGGACTTCCATATTTTTAATTATTAAAACTTTCACATCCTGACATACTGCAAACTAAACCCACATTTTTAATTATTAAAAGATATCTTCAGCGACATTTAAAATTAAAAACATTATAAAATAACATAGTATGAAACAAAATAAATTATCTCTTTGTGGCTTATCTGCTAACTGGAGGAATATGGCCAATGCTTATTGGCAAGAATACTCATAAGTGATTACAAAAAGATAAGTTTTTGTCTTTTTACAATTACTATCATCATTTTTACATATTTAGTTTATTACAACTGAATATTTACTGCTAATACGAATGTTATTTCAGCCATGTAAATTTGATTTTAGCAAAGCAAAACTGCTTGCTGAAACTTATCTGTTATGTAAGATCTCTAATTCAGAAGCACATATTTTTCATTCTTTTTTATACAACTAACTCTCATCATTCCTTAGAAATCAGAAATCAGATTACATGATTGGAAAGTAAAATGATACCTATTGAAAACTGAAACTTACCTGTCCTGTAAGATCTCTAATTCAAATGCATAACTTTCTCATTCCTTTTCACACAATTTATTCACAAATGATGTTTTTATTTATCATTTCAATTATATTTTAGAATTCACAAAACAGATTACATGTTTGGAAATTAGTTCATAAAAAAACTAGAATATTTTATGTAATCAAGAAAAAAATTTTCACGAACATGATATACCTCTAATCACAATTTTAACAATTCCCTGAGTCCAATATTGGACAACCACTTGGGGGACTGCATTAGAATACATTTTCTCTTCATAATTAATTATCTAAAAATGTTTTAAGTTAAGGATTACTATGTGCACATGTTAATTAAGAGAAAAAATTAATAAGAGTTTAAATTTAAAAAAAATAAAATATTTTCAGCATTCTTTATATTAAAATCTCAATTTACTCAAATTTTAAATTACAAAATTAAAATCATCCAAATCAAAATTCAAAATGGTGGCACATGTTGTTTTGGGCACTTTAGTACTGGACAACGTGTATTAGAATCAGGTAACAGACTAGGTCTCACTATTCCATTTCTTGACATGATTTGCCTGAAAATTGAGGAATAATACAAATTATATAATGATATATAATGATAAATTTATTTTACATACAATAATAACTATACATATATAGTTATTATTGTATGTATATAGTTATTCTTTATTGTATCTATATATATTATTGTATGTATAATGTTTGTTAAATTTAAATTCAAATTATATTATTGTATGTATATAGTTATTCTCTTGGAATAACTATATACATATAGTTATTCCAAGACACTTTATGAAAAATTAGTTTCAATGATTAGAAAGCCGACACTATACATGTTACACAAGCTTATACAATAAATAAAAGTGAGAATGAAGGAATAATTTACACCAAAAAAATTCAATTTAAAATGTCCCTTTTTGATACCTTTAATAAAAACTAACTGCTATTCATAAATGAAAAAAAATATCTATTACAGCTGATGTATTTTGAGGCCAAACTGATTAATTAGGCATAAAGTGTCTCTCATTTAAAATTTCCCGCCTGTCCGAGATATGTGGTTATCCTATACATACCTCTGATTAGATATGAAACCTTTCGATAATGCTTACTTTACGCATACTGTTTGTCACTCTATTAATATACAGTCAACTGTCGATTAAGTGGGGTTTGTCCAGAAACCCCACTTCAAAAAAGTTTGTTTATTGTGTAACGATGGAAAAATTACTATTACAAACTGTCAATATAAAGCAAGTTTTGATGGGAAATACAAAAAGAGAAGAAAGTGGTAGTGATAGCACATGATATCACAGTATTTAGGAACTGTTTTTAGCCATAACAGCATGCAATTTAATATCACATAATCTGAAATGCATAAATGCCACTAAAATAGTCAGCTAAAAATATAGGTACTACTTCCTTAATAATAAGGAGTGGCCCGCCTCACCGCAGTCTCGCTATGTGTTCTTATAATCTCGCTACATGTTACATCTCGGTTGATTAGTGATTAAATTTTGGGAGCCCCTATGATAAGGAAAGATCAAAATATATTGCTAAATTATGAAAATTAATTGTGTACTTTAATCATCTGTTTCCTACTGACCCCTATCAAAATACTTGTACTGCAGTAGACTCCTACTGATGTACTTGTAGTTTGATAGGAAATGAATGGAAAACAGAAGATTAATAAGTAATATAAACATTGTTTTGGTCTGTGTTATTCTTATTTTCAATACTGATTTAATTTATACAGTATAAAATCTTTAATCTGGACGTCCATAATCCGGACCTCAAAGCTACAAACTTTTTGCCATCAAAACTTTTTGCCCTCAAAGCTACAAACTTTTTGCGTTTACGCATGCGCGTTTAATGTATAACGGACGGTATAAGATAGGCTAAAATTATCTAATTATCTATTTCAGTTAATGTTTCAAATTGCAGTGTTCCTTAATCTTCTAATTGGATCCAGCTTATTATTTTTTGCAGACTGTTAGAGCAATTTTATTTAAAGTAAGCTTGACCTTTCGATTATGTCAAAAAGAGTTTCCGTTTCTGGAGCTGCCAAAGGATCTACAAAGTGAAAGCATGTTTCGATGTACCACTTCCAATAGTGAAGAAAGTGACAGAGAGGTTATTGAAAACGAAAAAATTTTAATTGACAAGTTAGTCGGTATTTTTGACACAGCAATTACAGGACTTGAACAATGGAACTGGACAAGAAATTATGTCTGTTTATAGAATTAAAGAGAAAGTATTAGCACAAAAAACGAAGCAACTTAAACAACTTACATTGAAAGAAATGTTTAATAAAGTAAACAAATAAATATTAAGCTTTTTTTTGTAAATTTTGATACCCTTTAGATTATAATTGCTCTTTATTTCTAAATTACGGTTTCATATTTTTAATTTTATAATTTCTGCATGCCATCTCACCAGATTTAAATTGATGATCTATAATCCGGAAAAACCCCTAATCCGGAATCGCCGAAGTCCCGACGAGTCCGGATTTAAAGACTTTGTACTGTACAACCAAATAAACTTCTACTCCCAATTAAATAGGAGAATACAGGTAAATCAATCCTATTTTTCAATTAGTTCTAATATGAGTTATTCCTCTTTTCAGTATTTTTTAAATTGCTATCGTATTAAAACTGTGAATGTCATTCCTGGTTAATAGACAGTCTACTTTATAAAAGCATTATTTAAAAAAAAAAATCAATTTAAGTTTCCTGCTTTAGACTTTTTGCCTCATTCTAGACTTCTATTGCATAATGCAAACATTTCTTTCCGTAATATATTTTAATTATCTTTTAATTCAAAAGTTGAAAATTGCTACTTTCATAATTACTACATTTATTGCATTTTATTAATGTTACTAAAATAAACGAGATAAAAAAAAAAAAAAAAAAACTTTGAAATACAGCAAAGTTTGTTACTCTTCTGTTATGGACCAGATTCAGAAATGTACCTATTTTTGTACGCATGTATTACATCACAGATTGGATTTTTGTATGTATGTATATGTATACACACCACATATATAAATGCATGCATACATACCCACTTGCATAAATACATAGATTTATGAATCTGGTCCCAATAACGGAAGAGTACCCAATGTTTTATAAGGATTTTATGCATAAAAGATATATTGTTCAACAAAATGAAAGGATATTGATATGTGTATGAATTTATTTATCTCAAACATTGAATTTAAGTCAAATTTATGAAAATTTAAAAAAAAATGATGGAAAAATAACATCTTTGTTTTGCAGCAAATCTTTAATGTAGTGTATGTTCACCTCAGACAGAAATGAAAATCTCACATTTTGATTTCAAAGAATTTATCATTATCAAACTTGCAATCAAGTCTTGTAGAACTGCCCATCATGCTTCTGAAAGTGCACTTTTTGATTATGTAGGGTTCTGAAAAGCATTTGAAGCTTTGCAATTCAGCTGCCCTCACATGCTGGGTTCGATTGGATTCAAGTCTGGTGAGTAAGTTGGACAAATTGTAAAATTCCATTCTAAATGAAGTTTATTTATTGCTAGGAAACAATTATTCATTTTCTTTAGTATAAGCTAAAATTAAAAAACATGAAGCTGTTTGATGCAAATGAAAAAAAACTGCTGATGAAAAAAAATGAGGAAATCGACAGCTATGCAGGGTATATATACATAGAAAAGATTGATTAATACCATTATTGTCATATTTAATGGGTACCAAGCTTAAAATGTATCACAGTGAAATAATGTACAAAATATTAAGCTAAACATGCTACTAAAACTAAAGAGGAAACATTAATTGGACCACATGATATTGATTCATTGGCATACTGTGGAATAATTAATATGTCATATGAAGCAAAATGCTACTGCATTCTTAGGAAAAAGCTCAGAGTAAATTTCCTCAGCTCATTTCACAATGGACTTCAAGGCTGATAACTGGATCACTGCATCTGTTTGACTGCTATTCTAAATGAAGCCTGACCTAACATTTTTTCAAAAGATTTGGAACTTTTGCTCAAAAGAGTATATAAACAGTAGTACATCAGATAGTAAATTTCAGAGAAGAGACCTGACTACAGAATACACAGCTTCCCAAAGGATTCCTGATTAATTCTTGATCACAATGCAAAAAGTTCATAAATATAAATATTCTCATGGAGTAATAACATCTATGGCTATAATAATATGTGTCAGAATTGAACATGCATGGTTGAGGAGCAAGAAGCAACATTTAAGCTACTTTACTCCATCTAGATCCCGCTTAATTTAAACAAGCATTTTAGATAGACCAAGAAATCTATAAGATCTCACAGGAGTAATACAGTTTCTATAGTCACAGGCATGTATTTTAAACTCCTGCATATTGCTAGTATCCTTTTCACATTGGTCAGTACTCATTTTAAAGGCTAGATGATAGTTATAATAACACGAATAGACCAAACACAATCTGCTAACTGTGAATACTGAAGTAACAAATTGAACATGCAACAAATAAAAATGCCAGAATAGATTACCAGAATAGATATTATTATAGATGCCCGAAAGATTAAGTTGAAATAACAACATAATTAAAAAAGACAAAAACATTTCCATTCTAAATACCAAATGTTTTACAGGAAGGCTAACCATAACTAACATAGTATGTACTGAGTAAGACAGCATGCTTTAAATACTTTGAAATTAATTAGATCACAAAAATTTAAATCTTACACATATTTATCTTCAGTTATACTCATATTAATGATCTACACATAAATGCAGTAAATACTTATTACATAAAAAATAAATTACAGTTTCATACCTTACTTGAGGAAGCAAACATTCCGGTCTTCCAATAACAAATATATGAAAGAGATGCAAGTGCTGCAACTAGAAATACAATATATACTAAAATAAGAAGACTAAAATAAAGAACATAGTGAAGAAATTTTTAATATTAAGACATTAAAGGTTTATTAAATGCAAAATAAAAAATATTTCCTTTAATTATTAATAAAATTTTGAAAATAAAAAAATATTTTTGATAAGATGAAAAAAATCAAAAGGCATAAAGTTTTGCTTTATTTTATAAATAAGAATTTCAAATACAGCAATTTAATACTATGAGGTAGAAATTCTTTCAGAAACTGACATCCATGAAAATTTAACAACACTCTTTTGTTATCAGGACCAGATTCAGAAATGTACGTATCCATGCATGCATGGATGTATGTATCCGGTGCCGATAACAGAAGAGTACCAATTTAACAATAAAAAACTTTCAGTCATATCCAAACATTCATCACACTATCCATACATTCTAACAGTACTACATACTATTTAAATTAAAAAAGAAGTACCTGAGAAATTGCATCAAGTACAGGTGTGGACTGTAATGATGCTGTGGATCTTGTGCTTAAACAAAGTCCTTCTAAATTTTTTGCATCTCCAACAGCTTTCCAAAATAATTTATACATCGGGTAGAAACACTGCTGATTTATTCTAAACAAAAAATATTCAATTTTAAATAAATCACAGAATTATTTTAGAATATCTGAGTTTTTAATTTAATGTATATTAATTACATTATTGTTCTAAAATTAGTGCATTTATTACACTATCAGACATTAAACAGAAAACAGTTATCTTGATTTATGAAGTTTCAGCAAGTTGATGTAAATGTAATATGAACAAATGATGATATCCCATATTATTACAAAATTCCAAACGTGGATAATATGGTTCACAAATGCTATTATAAGGATAGACTAATTTTTAAAAAGTGCTGTTAAAAAGTTGTTACAAAGAAAACAAGAACATCCTTTTCATTTGACACTGAAAAGACATCTAAACAAAATTTATATCCATAAAATTTACTTTATCACAAATTTGCTACTCTCAAAATTTTAATGATTTTCTGACAACTAATGCAGTTGTTTCCTGCCAACTATAGATTCCATAAGAAAGCTCTAAGGAATTTGATTTATCAACTACAAAAGAATTGGCAATTTATATTAAAAAATTATTGTTGTTGTCTTGTCCTAGGCATCAGTGCAGAGGAGTCAAATAGGGCCAAAAGTATCCAGAATAGGCGCAACAACATAAATAACTTTCGAAGAATAGAGGAGTTGGTGCGAGAGAGCTATATCCATACTGAAGAGTTTGGCCAAAATAGCAGGACAGTCGAAGAGATGGTTTGGAGAAAGTTCGATATCAATACAGTGAGGACAGCTTTTATAATTTCGTTGACCATCAGAGGAAATCTTCATTACTTTCAAGTGTTCAGTCTGGCTAGCATATTCACAGACCATTTCTTCTAGGGTCTGCTCTCATTGGATAAAACATCTGCTTGTCGGTCACATTTGGAATGGCGAGTTATCGCCTTGTAGGCGTGGTAATTAACGGCAAACAAACCTTGTAGGCTTTCAGCACAACGAGGAGAAACGGCATTTATTTCATTCGATAATTTTTTTATTTTATGAATGAAAGCTACGGGGGAATTGTGTGGAATATATTTTAATTAATAGTTTATTTGTACTTGGATTTAAACTGTTAAAAGTACGATAATTGTTTTGCAGGAAAAAATGTTTATAATCAATTCAATAAACATTTAAGGGCATCGGATACCTATTCTTTTAACCTAAATTATGAGTAAATATAACTAAAATTATATTTTATTCCATTATGCGCTGTTTCTATTGAGACGCTTTGCAGGATCTTGGATCATAATCTTGCTACTGGTACCTACTACAAAGAGTACAAACCAGTAGATAAGAATAAGAAAAATTAGCATTAACAAAAATAGAGAAAATGAAGGTGTTAAATTATTAACACCGCACCCGAAGGCAAAAAGACCAATAATGACAAAGTCATTCAATAAAGTGAGGATAAAAATAAATCTGTCCAGGGCAGAGTTCCTAAAAGTCACGAGTGGGGATAGAACTGGCGATGTAGAATTCCGAGAAATTTATCCATCCTCGTTACCACTGAGCTGTGATTTTGCCATTGGCTTTCAGACACTTTTCAGTACACCAGGCTGATATACAAACAGTATAGGCGATGAAGCAAAAGTTGTTAAGTACAAGATTCTGTAACCCTATGTTTCCTGTTTTAACCAATCGGAGCAAACAGTAGAAGAACCGGTCTGTAGGCTTTATGAATTTGTGTCTAGCTATGGTAGTTGAAATGACACGGTTACAATTTAGTGCAGGAATGGAATTCTCCTTAATTGATTAGGAGGTAAGCCTTCAGCTGGCTATTGCGTTGGCATTGGTTCAAAAATTATTAAACTGACAGAATGAAATTAAATACTAAAATATAATTAAAAGAGAAAAAAAAACGAACACACACTATCACAACAAATTAAAATTAATCTGTTAACTGATTTCCACAAAACTAATGTAAGCAGTGGGTCAAGCTCTCTGTTAAATTTATCTCGAAAAGATAGTTGCTTTCGCCCTGCCATCTTAGGGAACAATATCGCGTGAAAGAAAGAAAAGTTTAAACCAAATGTTTCACGTAGAACTCAAAATCGTTAAAGACTATAAAACAACCTTTGAACTCACTTTTCAGTACGTCACTTAACAACACCCCACCTCCATCTCCCACTGTTCCTCTAACAAAGGGCACTTGTTCTGTGACAAGGTGACCAGACAGGTCTAGATGTCCTTAAACCTTATCAGAATTCCAAAGCTTACTGGGAAATGAGGCTAGGCATACATTTACACTTCACCCCCCTCACCCACTCAATTCCCAAAAGGGTGGTCTTCATCTGTTTTGAAATCTGAACAATAGCTATTTATTCAGGGATAAGGTGAATATCCACAATGAGTCTTAATAGATGGAAAAAATAACAAAAGAAAACGAAAAAGCATTTGAAAATCAAAATATTATTATAAAGGGAGAAAATAATACTGAAATTTAGATTGAAAAAATCGTTTTACAGAGGTTTATTGTTCTAGAGAATATAGCAATATTGAGTGGAGATTAACATTAGTTTATATGCAAAATTACCAGGACCACAAAACATTATTGTAGTAGAGGGAGTTATTGTTGTATCGGGTATCGTTGTAGCGACAGTTTACTGTATCCCTTTTCTTCGCACCCAAGATTGAATTTTTGCTCTGGAGGCAAAAAGATTTAGCGGGTGCAAAACAAGATATCTTTCTACTCTGTCTGTACCTCATTTTGGAATCTGATGGGAGGAGAGATCATGAAATAGACCTCTTGGAAGACTCTAAAAAGTTAAAGAGAAAATAAGGAGAGGTACTCTGAGATGAGTACATCACTTGAGCAGGAAAGCAGAACTTAATAGCTGACTTGGCTTTATAGCCACAGCAGTAGAAAGATATTCATCTGGGAGCTCAGCTGGCATCTGGTCTTGGCAAGGAGAATTCATCAGTAGTTCTAGGCAGAGCAACGGACATTACAGAGGGATGAATCATCTTGCAGCAATGCAAAAAAAGTTAATTTCTCACCTCAGAGTCAATGATTTGCACTAAATCTAGTCTACGTTTCAGCTTACCTTCGAAGACTTAGCTCTCTAGCATTTACTTGCAATATCCATGATTTTCTTAAGGAAACAGAAGGTTAATCTATCTTGTAACAAGTTTTCAAAAGCAGACTTGAAATTTTCTAAAGCCAGTGCTCAATACAAATATTTTACATCAAGACTTCGTTGTCAGAATTAGGACGAAATTTTCATTGCCTACGAAATGCGCAGCAGAATAATTTGCTTATTATCTTACTTTTTACTCTTTAAATTTTAAAGATTTATTCCCTCGTGCACAATTTTTTGTATTTTCTATATTGAAAAAAAGTAAAATTTTTAATTAAACTTCATATTTTGTTTTTTAAAAGAAAAACACCAGCCATTTGTTAGACAAATCTTTATAAAGTGTATAAATCAAAGTAATTGTATAAAATACTTACAATACTTTTTCCATAAACACTTAAATTTTGACATCTATCCTTATTACTCGACATAACGCAATGTTAAATGAAAAAACACGTCTTAAATACAATTTTACCTCATTTTCTTTACAAAATGATGATCAAGTATTCCATTAAATTAATTGACCAGATAATTCTTCCAAAGGGGCTTTGTCCCTGAAGGACTATTGTTTTCGTTTTGGCATTTTGCATCGAATCACTTTAACCGGCCTATCACTTTTCAAATTGTTGCCACCAAATGTTAGAGCCCTCCATTATATTTAAAGAAATTAAATAATGAAGAATATGCATAAATGTGCGTATGTTTCTCACATTGTGATAAAACAACGGTACCTAGAGCCAACCAATTTTGAATGACGTAATCCTACTGTGAATATGGGCATCTGAATGCCCAAATTTGAAATTTCTTTTATTATCGATTTCATATTTCGTAAAACTTTAACGAATTTTTTATTAACAAACTCAACGACTTAAAAGCGAACAATAGCAGCACTTTATGGGGGGGGGGGAACTTTTTATCTCCAAAGCGCAGAACCAAGTATTGGAAATTCTAAAGATATGCTCAGTTTAAAACTATTTTGTGATTATGCTGTTAAACTGAATTTTATGGTTTAAGTGCGAAGAACATGATATTTAATAAATAAAGGTAACAGACAAAATGTTAAAAAAAAAAAAAACGCTGCTTTGGACGTAATTTAAAATCTGAAACATTTCAGAATTCCCCCCCCCACCTTATTTTTATTTCAATTGCAAACTGGCAAGCAGACACAGATTTTTAAAGAGATATATAAAGAGAGCATACTGAACTTTTAGGGTTCATTTGGAATGTATAGTCACTTACAGTTGTGATTTCTGCAACTTTACAAATCTGCCTCTGTTGATAAGTTAATGTTTAAAAGCATGAAAAAGCATTTTTTTCCATATAATACAACTTTTATTAACTGTATTATACCACTCTTAAAATTTAAAAAAAATATTAAATCAATTTTAATATTTTGGTAAGAAGAATTCATACAAACAGTAGAAAAGATTACATGGATCAAATTTACTATAATTTCATAAATTCCCATAAAATATAACATATAAACATTATTATATAAAATGATTTTCTTTTAGTTTATATAAAAATTATACAACTTGTATTCTGAAACAGATGCACTGAACTGAATACTAAATCACAAAACAAATTAACAATACATTTGCAAACAGATTTTATAACTTTTAAAACGTATAGTACCTAAGAAATGTTAGACTTTTGGAGTTTTTTAATACATGTATAACACTGGGTGTATAGTGACAGACTAATGGATTTCCGACATCAATTATTTCCAAGCTCCTTAGTTCATTACAATAATCAGCAACTTTCATGAGAAAAGAAAGAGTTCGTAATTCGGCAACTTTATAAAGTAAGAGATGTTGCAGTTTCGTCCACTTTTGTATGGCTGAAAGCACACTATCTTGAGGGCCTACTTTACTACATGCGCTGAAATTGAATACATATTCTTAAATTTATTAAATATTCTTAAAATCTTAAATATTTAAAATTAAGTATATATTTAACACAAAATATTTTCATTTCAAGGCATTAATAATTTTAAAAACAGAACTCCAGCTTCAAAATGAACATCCGAAACGCACAAAAATATCCGATAGCACCTAATGAAATAATGGCTGTATGACTGGCCCGTTATAAAGGGAATAAAGTTATTTAATCATTTAGTTCCATATATAAAAATATTCCACACCCAATAAATTTTTACCATTAAAAGCATTAAAAAGAAATTAATTGGTTAATAATAACTTTAAATTTCTTCATATACTAAAATTAAATATTTAAAAAATGTCACATGTTTAATATGGAAGTCAAATTGTTAAATTTACATCACCGTATTTCAGAAGGCTGGAAAGCAAAAGTCAAATTGACCATACACAGATTCCTACCTTTTTTAATAAATACAGGGTGAGCACAAAATCTTTTCCTGATTACGAAATTTTACTGCTTGAAAACTATTAGAATCAGATATACATATGAATTTTATGACATGGTAACAGTAATAATTAAGCATTTTTATGAATAGTAGTATAGCAGAAGTCCAGAAATCCGCAAAGCTTGGGACCAGAGGTTGTGCGGATTTTAGGATTTCAGGACAGAAAAGATAAATCATAATATTCAGACTAAATGTGCAAAATAAATAAGGTGTATTAGATACATTTAATTAAATTATTATATACATTATTGCAATAACTCATTATATGCATTAAATTATTATTACATACATAAATTGATTATATTATTAATTTATTATACATACACAGCATCGAGGTTTGCCGATTTCGCTTCATGCAAAGATTTCCAGTTTCGGATTCCGGTGTTAGAGTCACAGTTGCTGTAAAATTTCAACAGCTTTTCTTTATTTTTCCGTATATCATACACGATCGTATCACAATTCCATACGATTCTGCTATAAAATGCACCTGTCTCCATCTTTTGCAGAATTTGCACTTTTTGCATTACCGTCAATGCAATGTGTTTACGTTTTTCAACGTTGCAAGCAGTAAAATCATAAGTGCGTTTCTTACCTGTAATTGTATTAAAAAAGGGCTGAAATTTAAAGTATTCTTAATTTACCCACAAAATATCCAGATAAAAAAAAGGCAGCACTAAATAATCTTGTGAAATAACAAAGCTCAGACGATGCCACAAGAATTGCCTGACGCTGATATCATGACTGAATAACAGCTGCACTAGAATGCAAGAAAAGTCTCTGCTTTTCATCCTGGCAAACAAATGCATATTCTTTCTGTAAAGATGTTTATTGACTAATGTTATTGACTGAAGGGGAAAAGGCGATGTTAAAAATATATATTTTAAAGTAAGAAATTCTTTAGTTTTTGGTTGCTTTTTGGGGGGGTCACTTTTTGCAGGTTGCTTTTTTGGAGGGTCGCTTTGTGCAGGTCCCTTTTTTTTACATAAATGTTATCTGTAAAGTTGGGGTGCGGACATTACATGAGCGCCAACATTACACGAGTGTATAAGGTAATTATGTGATATTAAGAATGGTATCATCACAGCAAATACATGCATGTGACTTCCATGCATATAAACATAAATTATTTACTCATTAAAAAAATGGTTCTTGTAGATACCCAATTGTTGGTAGCATTGACTAAATCTATGGATATATGGACAGGAAGAGCATTTCTGTTCCTTTGCCCCTCTACATAGAGATATCTACCCTTCTGAAATGTAATGGTCTTTATATGGCTTTTAGCACATTTTTGCACAATACTTCCACCTTTACCAGCCATCTATAACAATTTTAACATACCTATTGTTATAACAACTTGATTGATACTTTGCACTGCCTTGAAATGTCCAATTCCTCAATCACAATCACACACATTTCAAATTACTTTTTACACATACATACATTCAGCAGTCTAAACTCGGCATCAAAAATGAAAATCTACAGTAATAGTTTCAGTAACTTTCAATGAGATTTTTCTTTCAAATGTTATTGCTTACAATTACCAGTAAAGAAACAACATGAATGCATCCTCCCTCTTATACAGCTAAGAGGTTCTGGCCCTCAAATGCTCTGTAAACTTGCTCTTCCTATGATTCCATGGCTGTAAGGAACGAAAATTTGCTTAAATCATTTGTTCTTTGGCAGTTGTCAGGCACTGCAGATATTTCTCAATATGCTAAATATTAGGTCCTATTGTGTGCACAGATGCCTAATTTATAAAAATCTAATTAATACATTTAAAAAATGTTTTCAAATAAATGGAGGTGTTTAATAGTTTTATTTATTATTCCAAAACTTTGAAAGATTTAAATCCTCAGAGATTGTTAAGAATAATTAAATGTAAATATGGAAATACTCCTCATTTTGCTCCTTTCTTATAATTAAAAGAGTAGGTATATTCCCCCTTCTCCACATTTTGTGACCTTTTTTGAATATTTAACTATTCTGGTGTCAAAGCATTATTATTGAATTTCAGGTCTGGATGACTCCTACATTTTGAATAATCAAAAGTTTTATGTTGAGACTTGTTTATTTTAAAAAGAATGAGTACTAATTTAGATGGATTCAGAGGAGGCATTTCACCCTTCCTCTTTCAAGCATACACAATTCTGAAAATTTTCAAATGGTACAAACTTTACCATCAAACATTAAAAGTAAATTTATTAATGAATCAGAGAAGTTCTCAAATGTCTAATATTAGAAGAAATTAAATAATTTTTATATATAAATTACTTTTAAATTATATGATCCCATTTAGCGATTTAAATTTAGGAAACTGTTTTGCAGATGTTCGACAAAATTGCATAATATAAATTCTGAATACAGCAATGCAGTTTTCTATTATGCAAAAATTGGTATTTTAATAAATAATACCATTATATTTGAAATAGATAAATATAGCGAAAAATTATAAGCAAAATATAATTCTTAAAAAATGAAGGGTACCTTAATTCAGGTATTAATTGAAATTTACAACCAAATTCAGAAGGAAAAAAACTTTAAGCCCTTTTTTTATATTAAAATTCATTTTGTAATAAATATTGAAGAAATTTATTAAATGATTAGGAATGAAAGGAATGCACACATTTATTTTTAAAATAATGAAAAATGGGCAGAACATATAACTACTATCATTATAGCACAGTCTATTCCATGGATTTTTTTTTTTTTAAACTATAACAACAGGACCATGCAAAAATAAGAATTTGATATTTCTATCTTCCATGGATATTTTGTGCAATTTTTTTTTTTTTTTTTTTTACTTGGGGAAAACTTTTATGTACTATAGAAATGCTAAAACAGAGCCATCAAGCAGACAACTAACTATCAGATTCTAATAATATACATTCTTATTCATAAAAAGATATATTCTTCAGTGCTTAAGACTTTCATTTAAGCCAGGGGTCCCCAACCTTTTATTCCCAAAGAGCACATTCTAGAATATCTGTTGGACCATATCTGGGCACCATTTAGAGTTAATAATACATGCACGTTAAAAAAAAAAAAAAAAAAAAAAAAGAGAGAGATCGGTCGCATTTTGCTTTAAACTAGCATCTGTGTTGCACGCAATTTTTATTTCATTAAAAATGAGAAACATGGTGCCCACGGGCATAGGGTTGAGAAACCCTGATTTAAGCCTTAATACATTTGATATAATGCAAAAATAATGTGTAAGAAAGCAGAACCAAAAAGCAAATCATTATGTACGAAAATAATTAGCTTGTACAAATTCTGAAGAAATGAAGTATATATACGAATATTTTATTTCACAGTGATAGTTACAAAACAGTCAGTTATAAATAAAGCAGAAGTTATAGAACAGTTAATAAGGAATTTCAGAATCAAATTTCAAATATGCAGAGGAAAAAAATGACTAATAAAGCTATTGCATTTCCCAGAGAGGAAGAGCTGAGTTGAATATTTATTATTCACAAAAGCAATTCATATGTAATGAAATGACTGCATATAAACATTAAAATAAAACTATAGAAAAGACTACATGGAAACAAAGGGGGAGCATTATTTTGCTAACTTACTTTATCAGGGGATATAAACTAACTAAATAATTCCACACCATTTTTTTAGTTTTTAAACAGTAGCTCTTGTTTATATTTTCAAATTTGACATAATGATAGTTGATTTAACATTGTACAAAATTGTTGATGTACTTAAATTTAGAGCTAAACAGTATACTCAGATTATCAGAAGCAAATCAGAGATTACACATAAAAGCAAGAAATGATCAATATTGTAGATATGCATGCTTAAAATTTGCCTAATTTTTACTCTTTTAACTTTCCATTTAACTCATTTGTTTATTATACAAATAAAGGATGCTCAGATATGGTGTTCGTAACACATTACAAAGTTGCTTAAAATAACCTAGATAATATTATGAAAACAACTTCAATACCGAACAGAAAGTTTTTATAAATAAAATAATACTTTTCTTACATCATTCCCGTGAAGCTGAAATTCCAAATAGTAAAATAATCATCACATATTAAAAACTTGATACAAAATTTTCTATACTGATTGCAAGTAACTTGCAATCAGTTTTTCCTGAAGGAGATATAAATCAATAACAAGCACTGTTTTCCACAGTTACTGCAACTAGAAAAACGGGTAACCTCCCTTTCTCTTTCTAATTACTGCTAAATTTTATGAAAAATTTTAGGAAAATTTAATTTCGATTGAAAATATAAATTCATAATATAAAATTCAAGTTATAACATCATTATTCAAGTTATAATATAAATTCATAATCGAAAATATAAATTCAAGTTATTTGAGTTAGTAAAGTTGTTCTCATTTACCTCTTCAAATTTTGCACATGAATTACGGAACAATTTATATTTATTTAACTTTTGAAAGCAATGAACATTTTCTTAACTAGATTTTTTTCCCCTGCACAGACTATAAAATACAGTACATATTTATAATACCTTTCTAACCTTTTGTTGAAACAGTTTTTGTAAAATTCTGTCATTATTTTCAGAAACACTACAATTGGATGTACATGTCTGGTAATCATTTTTTTTTATTAACTTCTGAAATAATATGCTAAAATATATATATTTTGACATATATTTGAATTTAAAAAACATATATTTAATTATATTTCAACATATATTTGAATTTAACAAACATTCTCTATTTGTAAAAAGCAAATTTAAACTTAATTTAAATGAAATTTAATACAAACAAATAAATGATTAATTATTGTTGCAAACTAATCTACAATATCATTTAAATTCTGAGAGCATATGTAAATCAAGTGCAAGTTTCAAAATCCATGAATAAATATAAAAATTCCAAAAATTATTTAATTATTTCATCCTAAAAAATTTTTTAGAAAAATGCATAAGTGAATGATTGTTGAGCAGGCGGGAGACAGACTTATCAAGGGGAAGTTGCCTCCATACCTAACTCTTCAATCATTCGTGTTTCGTCTATATTGAAAGAAGACTATTTGTTATATTTGTTTTCTCATAAAGCTAATTTAAATTTTAAATTATGAAAATTCAATTGTATGCAAATAAAAGATTAATTACTGCTGCGAACAAATTTACAATATCATTCAAATTCAGAAAGCACATGTAAATTAAGTGCAGGTATCTAAAAACATCAAAAAATATTTAATAATCAAAACATTTTAAAGAAATTTTTAAGACTAAATAATAAATTTGCATAAAGTGAATAATTGTTGAGTAGGCAGGAGACAGAACTTTTCAAGGGGAAGTTGCCTCCAAACCTAACTCTTTAGTTACTAAATTAGTGTTTCATCATCCACATAGGCAGGGCTGTGGAGTCGAGTCATGGAGTCGGAATCGGAGTTAGGCAGATTTTGTTTTTGTTGAACAGTTTGAAATTAAAGTGAATTTTAAAAAAAAGTTAATGACACTTAGTTATTATTTTTATTTATGGATTATATACATTAATAAACAGTTGTTTTATACTTTGTTGACATATTAATAAATACATATAAGGGAGGATAGGGTAATAATAAGGGCGATATTTGCCATTACTGAAACTGATTCATTTAGTTACAAAACTCGCTGCTAAATTTAGGTAAGCAGCAAAAGCAGCAAGAACTCCTAAAATTTATCCCATTCTTAGGAAGCGAGCAGGAAAAGGAGCAATCATTGATCGAGCAACATGATAGGGAACTACATATTTGATGATATAAAGTTTGTTAGAATTAAGAACTTTTTTAGAAGATGTAGATAACCCTAATGTTTAACTAACAGAAAGACTGTAGAATGATCTTTCAGAATTAGAAATTCTTCTTTCTACACTGTATATAGCCACTATAAGCTACAATCTGAAGAATTAACAGGAAGCGAGAATGGAAGAATGTGATGCTTGTTCTTTTTCAAATGGAGGGTTTATTGCAGAAGGAATCATTTCTTCAATGAAGAAAAGAGAAACTAGTTTGCTGTACAATGAGATCTTGCTGGGTTCAATATTTGTAGATCCAAAAAAACGAATTTCATTGGAATTAATTGGTCTGTTTTTGTTGGAATGGATGAACGAATTGAGAAGGCAAAGAAAGCCATCTATGAATTGTCAAAAAGAATGAAATTATTTTCAGAACAATTGGAGTATTCAAATCAGGACAGTCAAACTGAAGACATTGCAAATGAGTCTCTATCATCCTCTTCCAGCGATGAATTAGATTTTGAGAAATATTTTTGGATAATATTGAAAAGGCTAAGGCAAAGCGAATGAAAATAAAGAACCAAGAGCCTTCAGATATAAAAATGAAAAAATACAAACAAGATTTCTACATGGCTTTTGAAGAAATATAGAAATATGATTGTTCTTGCAAGAAACTTCTTTTAGAACTTATAATAATCTATCCTGAAAAGTTAAAAGAAGTATCCTTAACAGTAAGAGCTCTTCCTCCTACTCAAGTCAGTGTGGAAAAACTTTTCTCAGCTCTGAAAATTTATCAAATCGGATCTATGGTCCTCCAACAGAGCAGATCTTGCCGAAGCTATACTGTTTCTTAGAAATAACTAATGCCAGTTTTTCCATTTCATAATAAATGCTAATTAATATAAATAATTTGCTATGCCATCAATGTTTGTTTATGTAGCATCTTACATCTTTTATATTAAAAAACAAATTAAGCTGTAACCCATGTGTATAATATATATGCGGAAGTCAGAATCAGAGTTGGAGTCTTTAAAATTCCAGGAGTCGGAGTCGGTCATTTTAACTACCGACTACACAGCCCTGCATATAGGCATGAGTAAATTATTCAAAACTAAAAGTAAAACCAAAGGAAGACTAACATTTACATATTTAACATATAACATCAACATTTAAATTAACATAATTTTATTTCCTAGTCAATCTGCTTACTAAACTTCTCGAAATTCTTTTGTAGTTAAATTTCATATTGAAGCAATTCACTCATTTTGGTTTTGGATAATTTACCCATGCCTATATGGATGATGAAACACAAATTGAGTAATTGAAGAATTAGGTTTGGAGGCAACTTCCCCTTGAAAAGTTCTGTTTCCTGCCTGCTCAACAATTATTCACTTTATTCAAATTATTTAGTCTTAAAAAATTTCTTAAAAATTTTTTGGATTATTAAATATTTATGCTTTTAGATACCTGCACTTAATTTACATATGCTTTCTGAATCTGAATGATATTGTAAAATTAGTTTGCAGCAATAATTAATCTTTTATTTGTATACAATTGAATTTTCATAATTTAAAATTTAAATTAGCTTTATATGAATGAGAGAATATTTGTTAAATTCAAATTTCATTCCTTGCAGTAATGGTGCAAGAGAATTATCTTCACTATTAGTTTCTTACGTGTGTGTGAGTGCATGTCCTTATATTTTTAAAAAACATATTACTACATGGACGTGATTATTTTTTTAGTTCTTCATCATTAAATTTATTATAAACATAATTAAATTCTAGTGCACAGGGAATGGATTTGGGAATGTTTAAAAAAAAGATTAGATTATTATTTTCGAAATAGGTTTTTTGAAACCATTTGCTAATGAGTGAAATGTCTGAATAGTGATCAAATAATGAAAATGAACTGAACTGAAAGAGTCCACTGCCCTAAAATACACTGCACTTAGAGTAATTTATCATCGTTATTCAATTTAAAAAAGGTTCTTTTTTCTTAATTTAGCATGATTTTTCTTAATTCTTCCTCAAATTTTTGGGAGATAACATTTTAGTCTTGCAATTTTATCAAGTAATTTTTTTCAGTTCTAAGAAGCAGATTAGAATTTATTTCTCATTACAGATATGCAAGATATAAAATGTTAAAGAAAATTAATAACTATAATCTTGCAATAGGAATTAAAAAATTCCTCATTTTAATTTGGCAGTGCACCCTTCCCTTCTTAAGACTACTAATAAATAAATCTAAAGTGTGTCATCTGGAAATTAATCCACATCATGCCATTACATTACAGTAGCATCGCAAATATTTTTTACCTAAGCACAGTTAAAAATTTAAACAATTCAACCAGGTCTATAATTTTTTTTTCTTTTTCAGGACCTCAGTTATTTAAAAGCTATTTCAAAACTATCTATTTCTTTTTTTAATACTTTGTTCTGGTGCCATAGAATGTTGTTTACTTCTTTTTAGGGTCATGTACTTCTGATAAAATGGCACAGAATATTTTTGCGCATGAACCTCTGCAAAATTCCATCAAAATGTTTACAGGTTTTGAATGAAAGTAATTCTAAACTAAATCTGAATTTTATCTAATTAAAAAAAAATTTGAGGAAAAGTTTCTAACTTAAGACCATAACTTGCAATTAAATACAATAATTCAGCATATTCTCAAGTTTGTCAATTCTCTCATTCACTTATTCGGATAAAACTGCTTGCCAAGAAAGTATATTATATTCCATGAATTACTTTAAAATATTTCTACTTTCTTCAATATCTTTCAATATTTAAAAATACTAGCAAAATAGCTTAATTATGCAGTAAACTTACCACCCATATAAAGAGAAATGCTTAACACTTGTGCATGTCCTAACCATATCTTCAAAAGCAGTGTCCTGTACAGAAAATGTCAAATATAGTAAAAACACACTATTTAGAATGCAGCAAATTTATTTCATTTAAAAATTTAGTAAAACAGGAATTTAGAAAGAATATAGAATTTTATTTTATAACCTTATATCTTCAAATTTTTTATATGAAGATTTTTTAGCAAATACAACAAATAAAATAAATAATTACATTAAAATATCTTAAAAACTTCTAAAGGTCCTAATATAAAATCGTATAAAGCATAAATATATTGCATATTTATACTGAACCTTTGCAAAAGTAATAACTCTTATGTAAGTATAATTGCAGATCACAAATTATATCCCTTGGGAAAATCAGTATTCTAATGAAGTATTTTATTTCTTATATAAGAAAAATGACAGGTAATAATAATAGCTTTTGAATCATAAAACTGAAAATATACAAATTCTAAATCCTAAAGTTAAAAATACACATCTCCCCTCAAACAAATTCTGCATTTGTACAATGGCATCTACTTATACAAAACTTCAAAATATTTCACAAAGGTTCTAAAAATCAAATAAATATTATACTGAAGTGGGATTTGCAACAAAAAAAAATAATAATAAATAAATAAATAAATAAATAAAATTAAAAAAAAAATAAGGAAGATGATATTTTGTGTGGAAAGGGGTGGCAGAAGGAAAGCATGGATCTTTTCTCTTAAAAAAGAATGCATTCCAAACACTTTCTCCCAAAAGATATTCATGTGAACTTCATAGTTCAATGAATAAAACATACTTTCATCATCACTTCAATATACTGAGGTAAAAGTTTTCTAAATATATATATCTTTTATTAATTATTTGAATAAAGACCAAAACAAAAGGCACTTCCTCTTTAAAAATGGTCTATGCATAAATCATTAATAACATTCTGAAATATGCACATTATAGATAAGGTGATTGAGTTTCCCAGTTTTGACAATTAAGCATGATGGCCCCTTATCTATGAAAGTAACATATCAAACAGGACGATGAACTTTATAAAATTTTTATTGACAGTACTTAACATGAAAATAAGAACATTGTTCTAAGAGATGAAAATAAGAACATTGTTCTAAGAGATAAAAATAATGCATTTAATTGAGTAGTCATCAACAGGAAATATTGGTGCATATTTTTTTTCTGCAAAATCTAGTGCTATGAAAGCCTTTATTTCAACTTTTCACCAATAAAGCTAGCAGTACCATATGAGCAATAATAATCAAAAGTAAAAATATAACTAGAAATTATTTATTTATGTCAATGCAAGAAATCAGATACATATCACAAATAAAACTATTTACTGCCTCTGTCAATTAAAGATACTATAGAATATTCTTTCCAATGCTATTCTGACTGCAATATTTACAAATGGCATGATACAAAACCCTCTACTGATAAAAACTGAATTAAGTGTTTCTGTTCTGAGGAAGGAAGATCTCCACAAGACCAAATTTTATGCAATCCGCACACCATTATACTAATTAGTTTAATGTTCCCAATTTTTTCAAGCGTGTTATTCCATTGTACCTTAAAGTAGCCAAGGAATTAAATTAATATTATAATTTATATGCTTAGATGTAACTTAAAAAAAAATTATACGGTAACTAAAATTAACTTAAAACTCACACTTTGAAATTTTTCATTAAATTCATTTAATCTATGAAAAATAAGAATAACTTATTATGTGCGTAAATAGAAGACAATCTGTTTCGATTAAATCAATCATGCTTATTTGTTTAATTTTCTGATTGCTGATTTAATGCTCATTTATATCATTTTCGAAATTATTAAATACTTCTCATCACAATATTTTTCCCCTTTCTTTCACCAATATGAATTTAATTACTTTTACATAGTTGCAGATTACATCCTAGAATGCTCAAAGTGAATGATATAAAATTAATGGAAAAGTAGTCATTGAAACTGCAGTAAATTCATAATTTTTTTCTATTTGGAAGATATGCCATTCCAGATTACACTTTCCATAACTTCAGCTTTTCAAATATAGGAACTTCAAAGAAATGTTTACATAGTTTTCAAATTATATGATGCTATTTCATTAAGTAATTCTCCTAATAAGAAAAAACTTCTTCAATGATAGTTTGCCAATGACAGTGATCAATGATAGTATCAAAGATAGTTTGCCTGAACAAATGCAATCTTTTCTGGTTATTTGAGATAATAATAAAGATTCATTATCGACACATAAAATAAGCTACTAAAATAAATTGATTCTTTTCAGTATTTGGCATCAAACACACACAAAAATTTGCTAATTATAAGGCCTAAATAAACTTCGATTATAAGAAATATAAAAAATGAATAAAAGAAAAGCATTAAAAATCTTTTTAAGATCACAAAAAAAAAATTTATAATGAAAAATATTTATCCTAGATACTTTTTCATTAATGGGCACAAATCATAAATTGCTAGATATCATCACTTTCTAAAAGTGGAGCATAAAATATTCGCCAAATGATTTTACAAGCCTCATTTTTGGGTTATTTTATTTTTACTACTATTTCAACCGTTCATACGGTGAATGCAATATTTTATCTAGGGAAACAAACAAAATATAAGTATCTAAAAGGCCATAATATTTTAAAGGCCCCTAAATTTTTTTTAAATATTGGGTGTTTATTTTCTCTTAAATTTTGGAAGGCAGGATACATACCATTGCTCAGCAACTTTTTAAGTACCATTTTAAGTTGATGGTATTATTATTATTTATGACTATTTTTATAATATTTTATTACAGTTATTTGAGATCATGGTATTATGATTTTAATGATGGTATTCAACGGCAATGCAATCTATTTATATACCACATTATCATATCATACTATTAAAATATAATTTCATTTGATGTTTTTTTACACAAATTATATTTATCAGAAAAATGCCCTACACTTCTCTTAGTAATTTCTTTCTTTTAAATCTTTTTGCAGAGAAAATATCTCAATTTAAAAAACATTTATTTATAAAATAATCATATGTCTATAACATAATAGATCATTTTTAGGTTTGCAATGTCAGTGAGTTTTTATTCACGTTAACGACGAGATTTTTTACTCCTGCCAATATTCTGGACCTAGCTTATGAAAAAGTACTTCATGCTAAAAAAAAAATTACATTCATGATTTAGTTACATCTAATTAGAAAAAAAAATCTTACCTCCTTAGAAGCAAGTTTAAGAGCACACGATGGTAAACACAGAATTTCAAGACCTAAGAAAATAACTGTTTTAGCAAAATGTTTGCAGTAGATAAAACAAGATTTTACTCATAAAATAAGAGGACAAAATTAATATTAAGTAATAAAGATTTAAATCTAATCTACTACATCTTGTTTTGATCGTGAGTTTTGAACATACCAAATGTCTACGGATTTTCAGCCTAACATAAACCAAAGCATTAGAAAATCGACGTAAAAAAATATTCTAATTGAATACAGAGCAATATGAGCCCAGAAATGGTGGCAAATAAATTGTAGACAAGCTAATAAATCTATCAACTCTAAAAGAATTAATAAGATACAATTATCTTTTTCATACGAACTTATTTTTATTTCCTATGAAATACAATATTTATTTCTATTAGTCCTTTTAAAAACATCGTTTATGATAAATTTTGTTACATCTATGGCTAACAGAATATTTGTGGAAATAAAAAACGGATTACTTTTTAAGTCTGTGAGCGGCTATTTACAATGAACAAAGCTAAGATCGCATATGTTTAGAGTGTTAGAGGGGGAAAAAAACTTACAGTGTGTCGGCGTATTTAATTTTTGAATTTGATAGTTAAAATACTTTGTTTCATTGCGTATCAACTATTTTTTGCCTTGCGTATCACCTGTTGAGAATCACTGCACTAGAGCAAGCAAAGAAATTATTTAATTGAAAGGTAATTTAGGAAATTGATTAAAAACGTTATTTTATATTTAGTTCTTGCATATTAAGACAATGAAACACAATCGCTTCTATTAATTATTCTTAATTGATCGGAAATTGGTTTATTCCCCTTCAAAAGTCAATTAATTTCAGTTTAATAGCAATTACTAAACTAAACTCGGTGGCGCAACAGCCTTAGTGGGCCACCGCCTGCAGTGCCCTTTTTCTGCTTTCTTGATCTTTGGGCCCCAGAGTGCATCAGCATATACCCTGGGCAAGCGGTCAGTTTGTAGCATGTTTGTCGATGTTTAATCCCCAAGCGAACTTGGTACAGTCTGTCTATCATAAGGAAAGCTCTCGGAAGTTAGTTTGCAGCTGTCTGTTGCCATAGGAATGAGCCTTGACCCATTTTCCGCAGGGGTGTCTTGAAGATGAATGATAAACTCTTTTCCCCTCAGCCAACAGTCACCAAAAACAAAATAACAATAAAGCAACTCTTGGTTTGCCCCTATTTGAAATATACTAGCCCTGTTGCTATGGTGACCGCCACCCGCCAGATACTGTGACGGGAACTGTTCTTCTCGTAGACAAACAGTACTAATTTTATCGACCAACTTAAGAGACGAAAGATTGAGTCAACCTTGCACAGACTGGGGATTGAACCCCGGACCTGTGATGCAGCTGTGCGATGCGTTAGCCACTATAATAGCAATTACTGATTCATTAAATTTTCTTAAATATTTTTGTCTTTTACTGGTTTTTCCATTTTCACAAATTTTTATTTTATAAGTTATATATATATTTAAGTTTTTACCAATTTCCTAAATTACCTTTTAACTTAAAAATTTCTTTACTTGCTCTAGACAACACTCAACATTTTTTTACTGCACTAACATTTAAGTTCACAATTTTTTCCCCTTTATATTCCTAGATGCTACAGGTACTGGTCCATTAAATAAATTAATATTTGCTTATTTAACAGCTTCAGTGGAAGTTTTAGATTTTTTAAGTATAAAAAATTACCTTTTTTAATCAGTTCTTAGAATTTACAGACTCTGGCAGAAACTACGATTTTACTTAAAGCGGAACCGGTTTCCGGCTGAATTTCAACTTCTGAACAGGGTCTAAGCCATAGCCGATCGAAGAAAGAAAATATGCGCATATATGAATGTGTCTACTGCTCTTCAGTTTACTTGCTTCGCTAGAATTTATTAGTTCTTATGCCATCTTATTGTAAAATTGATAGGTTAAAATATTTAGGCAAAATTCTAATACCAGTGTCCGTGACATAGCAAGATTAAATGATAAATTCAAAAAAATAAACTAAATTTTTAAAAGAACTTTTCATTAATATATATATATACAGAGAAAGAGATCACAAGCTCCTTCGTCACTTTACTGAATACTGTAAACGAGTTTTCGTGGACTAACGTAAGTGAAGAAACACTTAAAGCCCATGATATCCACCTCGATATTGGCTTATGCTCAACCTAAATATAACTTCATTCTCAATACAAATGGTAGCAATGAAAGGACAGGAGATGGTCTTTCATAATAAATTGACACCCAGGAGCAGGTTATCGCCTAAATTGAGCGAAAGTCTCTGACAGCCGCAAAGAAATTATTACGTCACCAGAAAATAACTCTTATTTATCATACAATCCCATTATTATCTCTACAGCAGCAGATTCCTGTCCCACAATGACCATGATTCCGTTAGTTGCCTACTTAATTAAAAACAACCAAAGATACAAGCAGCTAGATGGATAAACGGGTTACAGGAATAAGATATACAAGTTCAAATATCGTAACGGAAATGCTGATGCGGTTTCAAGATCTAGTATAAAATTTTGCAAACGCTATTCGAAAGCCAAGGTTTTTGAAAATGTGCCCAAATGGAAAATCCTGAATTGACACCAGTAATGGAAGTAATGAAAAAAGCAAAGAAAACACCCAGCTGTAACAAATGACAACAAAAAGGTTTTAGGTTTCATAGGATTAATTTCACCTACAACATGGAGTTCTCAACTACCATGCCTATATCTCAAAGTTTCAGATGGCAATTTATCTTATATCGAGTCCCCAGCACTTAATCAGATCTTCACTACAGTTTCTGGAGGTCATTTTGGTATAACGAAGTCGCTATAAAATTCGTGAATGTTTCTTATTTGATAAGGCCAGAGTAGATATAAAAGGTCCGGAAATATGTACATGAGAGAAATACGGAGTTACAGTATAGAAGTACATATACGTACATACGAAGTTACAGTATAGAAGCACCCACCCGAACGGTTCGCTCTGAATCTTCTGGAACTTGCATGACTAAGGCTAAGAAATAAATATCTTAGTTGGCCATCATTTAACTAAGATATTTATTTCTTAGCCTTAGTCATGCAAGTCAACCTTGCACAACTTAGTCGAAAGTTTATGCCATCCCTGATCAAGAAGTTTCAGCGATCCTAGAAGTTTGGATCATCTCTCACAATTAGTTTTCAGAAGTCAGCAAGCCTAAAATCCAGAGCTTCCCTCAAGCATACAGGAATGCCGTTCATGACAGCACTAGATTTTCTTCAGCGCAAATGATATGAAACTGTAGATGAATTCTGTAAATAGAATTATTTAATCTATTATTCCTATTAAACTACATGATATTTTTTTTTCTTTTAATGCATTAATTATCATATCCATTTTAAATAAAAGTTTATTGCATAAAAATTTTTTTTCCTTTTAATAGTAAATTATTTTCAGTTATTTATTTGGTGCATTTCCTTTTCATTTTGCATAATGAGAGCACAAATTCTATTTAACGAAAATATGCGTTAACAGTTTTAACGCATATTTTTGTTAAATCGAAATTGTGCTCTCATACTGCGCTCTTCAATACTTATTTCATACAAAATTTTGTAGATCTGATAATTTTGAATCGATCAATATTTAAATTATGAAAATAGCTGAATCAGAAGCTAAGATTTAGGTAAAAACTTTCCTAACAGACCCCTACGGAAAATCTAGGGATTTCTCATCGCTCTTACCATTTTCTGAAAGTTTCTGAAAAATGAATTTTTGAAGCCCTAGGAGCGATTTTTTCTTAAGCTTCCAGAATCACTGAGCAAACCTATAAATATGGCCGCGTATAAGCCGAGATTCAGTTCACTTCAAACGGTTTGCTAAGTACAGCTATTCAAAATAATACGATTATTGCTTTAGAGAATTTTGATTACTTTCTGCAATTTTTTTTCGAAATATCAATTTTCGAAGTCCTAGGAGTGATTTTTCCGAAACTTGCATAAGCACCAAGTAACCTTATAAACACGGCTACATTGAAGCCAAGAATCAATTCACTTTAAACACTTAAATAAATGAAGGAATTCAGAATTTCTTTCAGTCTACTATGTGAGTTATATCAGTGGTTCTGATATTTCTCGCGTATTTAACTCTTTCGCATCGGTAGAGGGCAAAATCTGTTCCTCTTAAATCCAAACTCCATCTCAAACACCCATATATATGAATTTTTGTTAAAATGGATTTCCTTCCTCCATTGCCAAGTAGAATGCTATAGCGCTAACAATAACTTGCTTAAATAAACCGATCACTTTTCTCATGAGGATCTTTGGGCGGTTTCACCCATTGTGTGCAGTTTTCCCTAACAACAGGATTGCAACTGCAAGCTCCAACAGCAAAACGTTCATGCTAAACAAAGAAGAGGGAAAGTGCATTCAAATAACAGGGCTACTTTTAGTCGCTTCAAAAGAATGATTCGCATGTCATTTAGCAACTCCCAAAACACTAACGTGAGGATAAACAAGCACCAGGTAGAAAAGGAATGCAGGCATTCCGGTGTTCCACCACAGACGGGCACTTCAGGCAGTTTCGCTGTGAAAGAATTTACGGGAATTTACCTGTGTTCTCCTTAAGCTTTTTATAGTTGCTTATTTTGATGCGAGTTGTTATTTATTCAAGAAAATGTCGGCATACTCCTTGTTAAAGAGATCTGCAAAATCCTACAGCACGCAACAATATCCAGATACCAGTGTCAAAGTGGATCATTTGAGGATGTTCACATTCTATTAGAAACCCGACTAACATTACAATGTAGCTACTACTATTTCTAAAAATATTTAATTTAGAAAAAGAAAACTCATAATTACTTTTCAAACAGTGCAAAGCCTCAAATGGGAAATTTCCAACAATATGCATTTCACATACATTTAATGCCACAATATTCTTGCAGACCCTGAATATATTAGGAAGTGAAACAATTGCCTAGAGAAAAAAGAAAATAAGCGTCACAAAGTGAAACTTTTACTATGCTATATCAGGAGAAGAAAAAATATTAACATGAATTTAAATGCACTGGGATTTAAGAGAACCACTTACAGGAAATATTTTCCCTAATCTTAAATCAGAACTAAGAGGGATGTGAGGAATTTCTCGCAATGTGAAATACTTCAACTTTTCACCTCCCACTCTCTGAATATTTTCAACTATATCCTCGGACATGATGGGATCAAGCGAATGCAAGACAAATATTAAATATTCTATACTACTGTCAGGAATGTGGGAAAACTTGGATATATCACAGTCCATGTTCCGTAGCTGTAGCCAAGGTGAATGATGGATATACATATTATCTAAAAACATTAAGAGAAACCTTTACTAAAATTTTATATTGCATGACAAAACATAATAATGAAACAATGACATACATACTAATCATAATACAAAAAGTTTAATAAATAAATTCTGCAATAATAAAATAGTGTTTAAAAAAAAAAAAAAAAATAAAAAAAAAAAAAAAAAAAAAAGGTTTTGCATTCCTGTGTTTATTTCTACCAACAGTGATTTCCCCGACCGATCATAAGATAACAAACTGTAGCTGTGATTAAAAGAGAAATATCCAATCATTAAATGAATGTTTATATCATGTATTTATTTACATGAAATTATTTTTCAGAGATATATCACAGTTCTGTGGTTCCTTTTAGCTCCAACTTATGCACAGCATTCAAATTTGGTACAATTCCGTTAGAGCGGCGTCAATTACAAATGCACCAACAACCACGCCAAATATCTTGGCTCCAGAATTTAACATTTGAAATATCATGGCTCGAGAATTCTAGTTCTAGTTAGAATAGTGCTGTTCGTTATTTTGAATATTTTTATTTATGTTTAAAATACTGTGGCTCGTGATTTCTAGTTTTCGTTTGAAATATCATCACTGGTTATTTTTTTTGCCATATTTCGCCATTTTTTAAGTACGATAGATTACACAATTTGGCAGTTACCTGATGACGAAAAGGCTGCCATAAGATTTTTGTCAGAATAAAGGAATAATTCATACCAACACACTTTGTTCTATAACATCTATACAGAGTCGCAGCTAGGTTTTTCAGAGCCCGGAGACAACTGAAGATTTCGCGGCCCTCATATTTGCCAAGAATGAAAAACGTTTCATTCTAAAATTTTGTAACATCAATTTGGCACCCAAGGGACAGATGCCCTCTCTCTAGCTACACCCCTGCCACTACAGTCAAAAGTCGTTAATCCGGACTCGTCGGGACTTCGGCAATTCCGGATTATCGATTTTTCCGGATTATAGATCATCAGTTTAAATCGCGTAAGATGGCATGCAGAAAACAAAAATTAAAAATATGAAACCGAATTTATGAAATAAAGACAATTATGATCTAAAGGGTATCAAATTTACAAAAAAAAAAAAAAGCTTAATATTTATTTGTTTACTTTTTAAACATTTCTTTCAATGTAAGTTGTTTAAGTTGCTTTTTTATGTGATAATACTTTCTCTTTAATTCTATAAACAGACATAATTTCTTGTTCAGTTACAAAGTTCCGCTGTTCAAGTCCCGTTAATTGCTGTGCCGAGAATACCGACTAACTTGTCAATCGAAATTTTTTCGTTTCACTAACCTCTCTGTCACATTCTTCATGTCTTTATCCATTTTTTTTGCAGCAATCCACTTTTTGTTTGATGGACATCGAAACATACTTTCGTTCGTACGATCTTTGGGAGCTCCAGTTCGGAATTCTATTTGAATCGAAAGTTCAAGTTTACTTTTATAGTATTGCTCTTTCAGTCTGCAAAAAATAATAAGCCGGATCCAATTCGAAAATTAAGGAACAACGCAATCATCAACATTAACTGAAATAGATAATTAGATAATTTTAGCTTATACCATTCGTTATACATAAAACGTGCACGCGAAAACGTATTCTGCGCTTGCGCACACGCAAATGCACAGTCGTAAGAGGTCTTATGCGCACGCGTAAATGCCTATGTGCATGTGTCAACGCGGCGCATGCGCAGAAAGTTTTTAGCTTTGAGGTCCGGATTATAGATCATTCCGGATTATGGGTGTCCGAATTAACGACTTTTGACTGTATATGATTTTCCATCTTCAGTAGTAGACCAGCTTGCACCTGAAATAGCACTTAATCTTCACTATCTGCAGTTTCATTGTTCCATCAGACACGCATTTTGTGTTCCTTTAAGGTATCTAAAATAGACTCTTCATTACTTTCAACTGTTTTTCACTAGGGTTTTTATTATATATTTAATAAACTATCTTTTTTAGCACAGTAATTCAAAGATAAAGTCCAAGTGCCGTATGCTGGGGTCTGCAAGGAAATGTGCACTTTTATACAAGCTTATAGTTTTTCTCTGTAATGTCGCATTGAGAAATGTAAGAAAGATAAAAATAAAAACCCTCTTTAAAATGTTAGAAGTTTTTTAAAATGGAGATTAATGGTTTCTTTTATTACACTTCTTGTTAGAGGCACCTAATCTGATTTCAGATATTAACTATTAAATAAAGGGAATGCTACTTTTAGTCAGCATACATAAGTCCAAGAAGTTACTTACCTATAGTTCAAGAATCAAGAAAGATTTAAAATATCCTGTCTAAACTGCAAAATATTTTTTTCCTGTTCTTTGATTAAATACCATTTTCCCCATTTTTATAATAATGAAACATAATTATATTTTAATCTCAGACCTATAACGTTAAAAATAGCATGTTAGGAACTTCATAATAGTATTTTTCATTTCCACATACACATAACAAAATTAAATAAATAAGCAATAAAATATGAATTTAACAAACATTCTCTATTCGTAAAAAGCAAATTTAAATTAAATTTTAAATGAAATTAAATTACAAATAAATTATTAATTATTGATCATTTAAGTTTTGAGGCATATGTAAAAACAAGTTTAAGTAATAAAATATATTTTCAGATTTATCATCAAAACATTATAGTTAATCACTTAATCAGAAAGTTTGTTTGCTACCTAATAAAATAAAAAAATAAAGCAGTGATAAAAAAATACACAGACAGACATACTTTTGAGACATTAAATTCAGACCTGAATACTCCATTTACTATAATTAAAATTATAAATACATTTTATGGTGATAAAAATCGCGTGTGATTTTGTGGGCTTTTATGCTTTCATTAGTGTGGGTATTTAATGTATGGGCAATTGGGTTTTGCTTTTGTAGGTTTTTGTCGACTGAGCTTTTGTCAGAGAACCATCCAAATCTTTTAAGATAAGTAATGTTTGGCTTACGTCTCCTGAATGTTTAATAAAGTATTAACTATTTGCCTTTTTGCTGTATTCATATGACTATCACTTTTGCTCCTAAATTTTATCAGTAATTGTGTCTCAATCAACATAGTTAGAGACAAGTTCGAGACTGTTATGGATCATACAACCACATCTTGTACTCTATCTAAAATTTGTGCGGATTGCACACCACTAGATATCAACGTGATATTTGCAATGTTTCTGTCGCTCCAATTTCAACAAGACAATGCGAGATCGTATGTTATCTATGCTGTCCTATATTTCCTCAATGTCAATGTTTGACTCTTGCATTAGCCAGCTCATTCCCCAGATTTCTCACCAATTAAAATCCTCTTTAATGTTGCAAAGATACTGCCATAATAAAATCAATGGCCAAGTTGAGAGATCAGCTTTTAAGCTGTTACGTTAATTAACCAGTTATCTTATCATTTTGACTGTACTTTCAATTAATTCTCCTTTCGTCAGCTCTCACCAGAATGCAAATCAGTTAATGTATTTAATTCAGAGTTCTTGAGTTTGAGAGAAAGCTTTCGAAAATTATCGCTGACCATCATACTATCACATTTTCTTATAACTGGATTACTTAATTCAGCTTCAGCTTTGCTAGCCGTAACTGCTCATGGACGTGTGAAGGTGTACGCCAAAACTAGGAGGCGAGATTTACCATGCAATTTAATATCTTAATTTTACATGAATTGTTTCTTAATTTCTGTAATCAACAGACACTTGATTTTCTATTATTATATAGATTATGTAACCATTATTTTACTTAGGATTGGGTACGAGAAAAACTTCTACATGTTTATGATAGGTCGCTGGGGAAAGGTGTTCTGATGTAATAGATGGTGTTCCAAGAGCTGGAATAGGTTGTCATGTTATCGGGAGAACATTACAGCAGTAGTGACTATGCACTGTGTGGATCGAGTGTTCTGCCGATCAAATGGAGACATAATCACATCAGACATTGCTTACTGTTCGAGTTCGATAAAGCCAGCCTGCTGCAACACTAGGTAAGTGTGCGATGAGGATGCAAATGAGGAAAGCATAAGTCATTGCTGATTTCGAAAATCCAGGGACAGCAACAGAAGCTGTCAATATCAACCACTGTCTAGGCACCCATCAATATTTTCCGAAGAGGATTTCGACTGAGCCGTAACAGTTAATCTGAATCCAACGCTAGAGGAATTAATGGAAAACCTTCCAGGAGCATAAAAAAACAGTGAAAAGAAATGTTATGGAGCTGGGTTTTAATACAAAGTTCGATAGCCGAGTTCCGCATCACGTGAGCGCGAGTCATGACGTGCGTTTCCTTACTTTCCCGGTAAAAAAAAAAATAACTTTTTGACACAGAAGATAAGAAATGAGAAGGTGAAGCCTCACAGTACTGTCTGTTCGCATTTCTGAACTGTCTCCATCAACGTCCAAACAATAACTTCATCCCAAAGAAGGTGCTGTTGATTGTGTGTTTGGAAGTGAAAGGAATGATTCATTGGAAGGTCCTGGAATCTAATCAAACCATTAATTCAACCTTCCACTGTCAGCAGCTACACAAATTGCAAGAATAATTACGGATGAAGGTGCCAAACCTTATCAATCGCAAGTGTTTATCCCCGAACATGGTAACGTTAAATCACATATTGCTATGATCCACACTTCAGAAATTACTAGACTTAGGTTTTATCCCACCCCTGATCTTCCCCTGCCTTGGTTTCCACAGACTTCACGTTTTTTGAGCTTTGCAAAATTCCTTCACTGGGAACATTTTTGATGATAAGGAGATTGTAAAAAATCGTCTTACGTGAGTTTTTTAACTCCCCACCTGAGGAGTTTTATCGTCGTGGAATCATTTTCTAACAGAAAGATGGCAAGAGGTCATTGAATGATGGTGATTATGCATGCACAGTTCTAAACAGGAACAGGTGAGATACTGTTTATACTGTTTGTGTTGTTTGCACTTCTATATGCATATGCACGGCCGATCCTAGCAGGGTTAAGATGGTGCACAGCAAGTGGCGGCCAAATGATTATCGAACATATTACATTTCTGTAAAAAAGGGAGGTCAATTCTAATTTACAAGTGGGCCGCCGATGGTCTAAGATCGGTACTGTGCACACCCAATAGTTAAGACAAGACGATAAGTCGACTGCCTGCCATTACGGTTCCAAAAATTAACATTCAAAGTAGTTTGGATGGGTTATATCTTCTTCGTAATAGGCATTTGAAGAAATCCCATTTCTGATACTAATTATCCTGTGCAACAGACAAAGACCATCTTGAATAACCAGGCCAGAAGAACATGAAAACTATGTCACATACGTCCAGCCCTTATTGGTAAAATTAAAAACAGGTGAAGCAGTTAATAGTTAAAAATTGCTGAAGCAGAACAGCAATAGAAGAAATTAATTTTTACATTTATTTATTGTATATATGTGATTATTATTTAATGCGTAGGAGGAATCAGATACTTTAACAGCTTACAGTCTTAGATGGTTGAGGGGAAAGACAAAAAGATGATGCTGACAAAAATGAATTTTGAATAAGTTCCAATCTTCATTTTCACGCATATAAAACCATCTTAGTACACATTCATCCAATAATAATGAAATACAACAATTTTTATATACACTGGATTTTTAAGAGGTAAGCATTTAAGCGAGGCAAAGCAACGTGGTGTTGACAGAGTAGAAGTTAGGAAAAGGAAGAATGACATAGTTACTGTGCCAAGAGTATTTATACTAAGTCCTGATGCATAAGTACAGCTAATCTGTGATTGGTTAATTTTAGGTTGTTATATAACATGGAAGGATATCGAATTTGGGAGAACAGATGAATTTAGGGGGACAGTAGCAAATCCAAAACAGTTAATTTTGAGATCGTCAATTATTCTTAAAGCAACTCTCGTATTTTGTTACATCTTACATATATGTATATATTAAAGAAATATAAAAATAAGCTAAAAGCTGCTTTCAGATCTGTGACTTTAGATAGATTCTGAAATTGAATTTCAGTCCATAACAATAACATACACAACAAAATAAAAATATTACATAGAAAGAATAAAAAACAAAAACTAAATGAATGTTTCTTCTGAAAGAAAATTCAACTTTGTTTTTTATAATATATATTAACTTTAAATTTATTATACCATTTTACCAACAGATAATAAAAAATACAATTATTTTTCTCCCGATTATCAACAGAAAATAAAAAATTAAAACTATGTTTGTCATACAAACCAAAATTTTAGTATAGTTTACTCGATGTTTAAATTCTTTCCATGATTAGCAGATACTATTATAAAAATCTATGAAATGACAGAAATTAAAAATAATATTTTGTTAATGACAATTCAGTTTGGCTGCTAAAATAGTTTTCACTAACCTAAGTTCACACAAGTGGCTGAAAAAAATGTTTAAAGTAAAATAAAAATAAGCATTTTAAGTTAAAAAAAAAAAATATTGATTGTTTAAAATGAAAGTACTCATCTACTGTTGAAGTTTTAAATAGTACTTCACTAAATTCTTTTCAGACTATCAGCAACATTTTTAGAAACTTTATTAGCACCCATTTTAATTTACAAACTATCTTTATCTACTTTGTAAAATGAGGAAAACAGAGAATAATATTTTAAAGCCTTATTGATCGCACTTCTAATTTTAAAAACTTCTAAATTAAAATTTTTTTAAATTAAATATTTTGAGAGGATAATGACACTATTAATAAAAGTAAACTAATTCAACATCAAATATTCATTTGTACAACTTACATGAATATTTAATAAACAAATAATTGTGTAAAGTTTAATATTCTAACCTTTGTATAAGTGTCTGATAGATTCTGACAGTGTAATTCCAGTTTGTGTAATCTCCATTTTGCGTAATATCTTCCGACAGACACATTTTATGTCTCGTTCAGGTTGTTCCCTAAAAGTGTCAAAATATATGACAATGGATTTATCTTCAGCTAGACATTTAATGCAAAAAATGTCCAGTTTACCAATCACTGGATGTAAATGAAATAAACAATGACTAGAAAAATTGATTCGTATGTCTTCTGCAGAAGGGAATAAATTAATCATTTCCAACATAACTTCTAAATCATGACAACGGTCTGTATCATTTGTGAAGTACACTTTCTTCAGTTTCTTAGCAGGAAAAGATGTACGCTCAGCAAATCCATTAGGATCCCAAGCAAAATTTTCAATTTCCGTACATTTTGAAAATATGCGAAAAATATTTCTTTTACTCAAACCACACTGGATAACAAATAAGTTTTTTAAATGAGGACATTTTGTTATGCACATTTCCAAATCCGTAGGTTTCACATGTGTGACATAATTGAAATTTATTTCTCTTACAAGAGGCAGTTTAATCCTGGAGGAAAAGAAAGACATATCATCTGGAAGGGATCTGCGATTCACGTAGAAATTAAGTGCTCTAAAAAAGAAAAATATATATATATTGGAATTTTTCTCAGAATAAGAAATTAACAACTATCCTTTTCATGCATTAATTTAATTTTAATTCAAGATCAAAACAAAGAATATAATTTCAACACATATATTAAATAAGCAAATGTTTAGCTATAAGAACATAAGTCCACAAAAATAGCACATTTAAAGTTCATAACAATATATCACACAATATATGAAAATATAATGACACAGAGGTTACAGCAAAAGAGTTCAAATCAAAAATAGTAGAAATGGTTGATCAATTGATTGGTTAATTTATTGAGGAAAGCACACTGAGGTCAGTAATGAAATTCTTTATGAAAGACTTTCTAAGGAAACTACAGCTTTTTAGCCAGATTCGAAATAGTGTCAAACTACTAGTTTCAGCAGTCTACTTGGCCAGCAAGTGATATAATGCAAAAAGTCCTTATTTATGAAAAATAATTTCAGATATAATTGTTCATAAATATTTATATTATAAATATATAACTTCATACCCTCTTTTCCATAAAATTACAGCACTTAAATGAAAATAAGCAGATTTATTTGAAATTTTGCTGTTTATTTGAATACATTTATTTATTTTATTACATTTACATTTTTATTTGTTTATTTGAAGTCATTACTGTCTTACTACTTTAGTAAGACATTAATGACTTAACAATGATATATGATTCTCGATCAGTATTTCTCAACTGCAAGCTATACGGCCTCCTAAGAAATCATACAACGTAATGGGGTTCAGTACATTGGAAGAGCCATGCAAATGTATTTTAATGGGATATGCCAATTTTATCTCTGGCATTATTAATTTTATTTATACACTGTCAGGCAAGGAAAAAAAAATACAGTTCTAGGTTTAAAAAAAGCTATAATTTTAATATTAAAAGGGCTACTCTCACCAATTTCATGACACAGTTGCATAAGCTCATAAAGTTTTGGTACTACCAAGTTGAATCACAATTACTTAGTTGCCAACCCAATATATTTTTCCTGCAATCTGTTTTCATTTTTAAAAAAAACATCAAAGAATTGCAGAGAAAGCAAACCTCAACAATACCAGCTATTTACCAAAAGCATATCCTCATTGCTCTAATTATAGATTCTGTATTCCTGCAGAAAGTTTACAGCAGTTCTTACATTGCTTGCAACTCACACAAGCTAATATTTTTAAAATCATGTTTAAGGCAAAATTTATCATGATTTGTTTATAAAATTTACTGAAACTTGGAATTCTGCATAAAAAATGCATACGAAAATGGCGAAGTGGCTTGACTGAAGGAACATGGGCTATGCGCATGAAGGTCATTATGAGCATGGTTATATGCATGGTTCACAGAGTTTGGAACATACTGAAAATTTGGTGACTTTTATTAAGGTGGTTGCGATAACATGCAAGTACCCATGAGACAGAATATATATGGCACCACCACTTGTTAAACACTGAGGCATTACCATAAGTATGGATGCCAAAGTTTGGGGCATCTTGAAAATTTGTGGCAACTATTGTACGGTGACTAAGTTGTATTACCATATTTCTAATTATATTGGTACATTTTGAAATTATTTTACAAGTTATGCTTTTACATCCAAGATTTCAAATTTCACTTTAAAGATTACTGTATTTGTACTGTATTATTATATTTGTATTCCTCTACAATATCAAGACAAATAAAAATTTTGATTTCAATGAACAATGTACAATAGGCATCCACAACTTAATTCTCTTTCTACTGCATTCTACTATTAAAACTAAATTCTATTGTATATATTTTAAATACTTCTTTAGATTCCTCCATATTATAAAGTTAAATCATCATCAAACCTATTAAAATAATTCTTATCAATTTATTCTAGCATTCAGAATTTCTATTCCTCATAGTCTTTGAAAAAGGAGGTTTTCTTTTAATTTATATACTAGAATATTTTTCCTTGCAATTTAACTATGTTATTGAAATTCAATAACTATACTGATACTGCTAGGATTACCACATATTCCACAAAATTCACATATTCTGCTACATATCTGAAAACATTTAGTTCACAATAATTTCAAATTTTAAGAAAATCATAAGCAGCAATACACAAGCTAAGTCTGATGACATTCTGAACAGCAAGATGCTCTGGATGATAGATGATATTCTGATGCATCAAAAACTATTTAAGGGTTTAAAATTAACTATTTAAGTAAATTTTAAATAGCTTTTCCCATTTTTTAGCTATAAATTGACACATTTCTAATCATATAATGAAGAGATGACTTTAGAAATGCTACCTTTAAATCTGATGCCAAATGTCATATATTTTGCAATCTATACATAATATTAATCTTGGCAGAGTATGAACAACTTTGTGACACGACTTTCCCACTTAAAAGAAGATATAAATTTTGAATTCAATATTTTACTTTTGGATAAAAAATTTGAGTACTAAAAGATGTTTCTTCGTAGAAAACTACATTTTATAATTTCAGTTTAATACATCTGAATGTTTTGACATTATTTTCAAAGACTTAAGGTATCCGACTTTGTTTAGGTACCATTTTTTAAAAAATGGTTTTTATTTTAACTATAAACACATTAATTTGAAGATAAGCATATTAATGAGTGAAAACAGCTTAAAACATAATGTTAAGTAATTTTAATTTGGAAACATAATGGAAAAAAGGATAATTTTTGCTTAAATTCTGCCTTTATGGCAACAACCATGGTGAACAACGTATTGCATCCAAAATCTAAAAATTAAAAGTAACAATTCAACTTCTAATTAATATTTCTAAAATCTTCTGCTTCAGAGCATGCATCAGATTATATGAAACACGGGTACAACTCTGATATACGCCCTTATTTCACCAAATGTTGCGATATGTGTTCTGCGCTGGTTTTTGGCGCGATTGCGTGCTGTATGGCGACCTTGTTGATGTTGAAAAATCTTTCGCTGGAGTTCGTTGGTTCACGTCATGCTCTGTGTCTGAGAAGGTAGGGGGGAAAGATAAAATGGTGGAAGTTGTTGAATTGAAGCTCGGCAAAAGGAAATATCATCGTGGCCATCCTGTTGAGGGGCAGTGGGTATTTGGAGGTGTGGAAAGAGGGTCTGGGAGATTATTTTTAAGTGGCTGTGCATGATAGAAGTAGGGATTTGTGATTATTTGTTATTTTATTTATATTTGTGAACCATAGTATGAATTTTTTGGATAGTGTGTCATATAAATCCGATAGTGATTACGTGGCGGCATGTTAAAGGTGGTATGAAATTGGTATTTCTGCTGTTCGAAAAATCATTAATTCATGGTAAGTGCATTTTATTTTATTCTTGTTCTTATTTTGTAGAATGTTATGTTCAGTGTTTTTAGTATGAATTTCTGACATTATTGTTTTTTTTTAATTGTTTGAAATTTAGTTATTTTGTTGATTAGTGCGTACTGTCTAAATTGTGCAATTCGTAGATGTTTTTTTAAGTTGAAACAGGACGCTGTGGTATTCTTTGAAATTTATTGTTGTTATGTTAATTTATTAAAGCGAAGTGTAGTTATTAGATTCATTTGTTGCCTAAATTGTGCAATTCGTAGATATTTTTTTTAAGTTTAAACAGGATGCTGTCTACATGGTATTCTTCACAGTTCGTAGATTCGTTCGTTGCCTAGATTGTGTCATTCGTAGATGTTTTTTTTAAGTTAAAACATATCGTTGTGTACATGGACTCTTGTCAAATAATTTTGGTTAGAAACTTTGCTTTGCTATCTAAATTTTTGTTTTTGTTCGGTTTTTAGCTTAAATTGTGTTCAAAACATGGTTTTTGCATTTGCGAAAACCGCATTTTTGGAGACATTTTAGGCTTAAATTTTGAAATGTAGACAAAAAATTTAGATAGCGATATGGCAGTGTGGAGTTTCTCGCCAAAACTGTTTAGCGAGAAATTTGGCGACTTGAGGACGCATATCAGAGTAGTTCCGAAACACGTATAGAATGTACCATTTAATTTTATCCACAAAATTTTGAGTTATGGTTATTGGCAATATTTACAGAAAAAAAAAACATTTTTCAGAAAACAAGTTTAAAGTTTTAATAAAACAATTTCTTAGTGAAAGAAGCATCCTTGATAATTAAAATTACCCTTTGTAATTGACACCTTATTTTTTTTCACACACATTGCATGTTTTCTTTCAAACAAAGCGCAATTTTTTCCTTTGTTTGCAAAACTTGTGGAATACAGCCAAGAGTCATGATTTTGCACTTTATCAAGTTTTCGAATTCCCTGCTCAGTGTAAAATTCAGAACACATACCTAATCTTGAAAATGCTTCAAGCAAACCTATAAATCCATCATTAAATAACACAACACTTACATTTGCTCTAAACAATTATGTTCGCAGGTTTGTGAATGTTTCTTTCGGAACAATTTCCAATAAAATGCCATTAAAATGTTCCTTGATATTTTGAGTTTTGCACTGTATGCACTTTTTTAATAACTCTTGTTTACATAGTCAACTCCATATATGTAGGTTTAATTAAAATCAAAATTTATATTGATATACCAGAGGTTTTTTGGCTGATTCTTTTTTTTTTTTTTTTCCTGCAATCGCACACTGATAGTTTCACCAACTCGTTGATTGAAAAGGGTATTAGCTTTGAGCTACAATGGAACAAGCAGCTAGTACAGCCTGCTGCATCTCAGTTAAGTTTCCAACATTACTCCTAATTGCAATCCCTAATTCTGCAGTTTATCAATAAGTAAGCAGTCAGTTTACCTTTTCCTTTCAATCCAGGAGTGGAGTTTTTTTTTTATTCGTAGTCTACTACCAACCCTTTTTTGTACATGTCCAATGCATGTCAGTTTCTTGACCGAATCTTTACCATACATATCTTTCACAATTAAAAACCCCTTAGAATCCCCACCCTTATAATACTCTGTGTACTTCAGTCTTTGTAATTTAATAGATCATTCAAAAAGCAGATAAGCACCAACTGCTTCCATAACCAAAGCTGCGTCTTTATAATTTGCAGAACAATTATGTTACGCTTTACATATATACTGCTGAATATTGTATTCCATTTTGTTTATTTTGTTGCAAATGATATAAAAATTTGACATAGCTTTCAAATTAAGCACTTTGTCAACGTTAATCGACAAAGCAGCAACACATCCATTCAAAATCGAATACGCTCTGTGTCAAACTAAATACGAAATTAAGGGAAAAAAACTATCGCCAGATTCTTAAAATATATAACAAAATATTTAAACTTAGTACGAAGGTTTATAATTTACAAAATATTTATGACAAATAAGGTTTCTAAATAGGTATGTCTATTTAAACGCTCACTTCCGGCCCAGAATATTGGAACTTCCGATTTATTCCGTTACAGATAAATGCTTATAATTTCAGTTCTAATTAACCTATCAACAAGCAAAAACTTTTATTTGATAGCTAAAGATGTATTCTTTAAAATAATGTAATAAAGTAAAAATCGAAATTTTGACCGAAAATCATCTTTTGTACGAGGTCGAATACCTTAAGTAATCTGATTACTTTGGTGACACAATGTACGCCTTATATTAGGCAACACTTCTAAGTTTGGAAGCAAAGGATCCTGCATATTATAATGAAATTTATTTGAAACAAAATCTTTATATTATTTATCATTTTTGCATTTATTTATTATTTATTTATCATCTTTGCAAACTTTGCCTCATATCTGATGACATTTTAATTTCAACGGGATAGTTTTTTTTTTAACCACAGTTTCCCTGTTCCACAGTTCCCACAGTGGAATTTTGTACCCAATAAATTTATTTCTTAACTGAAAAGAATATCAGTTCTTCTGCATTAAATAAAATAAATACAAGTACACAACTAAGAATACCTAAAAGTTACATAAATAATTAACTGTCATTATTATTTCACATTCATATCAAAAGAAAAATATTACCGAATCATAAACGTCAAGTCTGTGAACCTTTCATATTTCAGCTCCCTTAGCAACAATAATTCTTTAAGTGATAAAAACGAAAAGATTTTTACGATAACTTCATTGGGCAAACGCGCTAACCAAAATGATGGATCATTTTCGATCGATTTACTTGTTGAAACAGGATCTACAGGGCATGGTGTACTACAGTTTCGTTTTCGTAAGGACGATGTACATAACTTCTTAGACATTATTATATGAAAAAAAATAATAAATAAAATCTGCACATTCGATAAGGTTTTAAACAATTCGCAGTTTTTCCTGACGAATAATTTTAATACACGAACAGAAAAACTCGAAATCTCTTCTTTGGACAAAACTTGCAAAATTATGAAATAGCTACAATTATGTGAAACAGACGCCAATTGAATTAGACAGTAGAGCTGGAGCAAATCGCATGTATTCGTTACCGAGTAACGG